GAAAGTAGATAAGGTATACACAGCATTTCAGATAGATAAAGGTGTAAGTAATTACATTAAATGTATTTACATGCCTATCTTCCTTGAAGTACCATGGTTAGACTTTTCTTCCAGTAATTATATCTATAAAGACATAGTTATATGAGATTAAACTAGACTTCCATATATATACAAAATTTACAATATTTTCACTATAGCTACTACTATTTCTGATCTCCAATGCATTAGATAATGTTACCATGACACGCAAGATGAATAAATATGTTATGGAAATATTTCGTTCTAGTTAATTGATAACTATAGACATGAATATTTTGGTTTTTTGTACGCGTTTTGTTTGAAAGAATATTTTCATTTCAAGGAACGTTGATACATATTAACAAACCTGGAGAAATCAGCACAATCAACCTTCATCAAATAAAACTTAAAGACAAAAAATATAAGTTATAACAAAGTCAACATCATGATCAGTACAGTATTAAAAATATATCATTCATAAATCATGAGCACCAGTTGTACCTTGCCTACGAAGCGCAAACTTTTTATCTACAAAAACTTGAAAAAGTGTCATGGCGGTGGGTGTGAAAAACCTTAAAAAAGTGTCATATCGGCGGGTATGCGCGTGGGACGAACAGTCCAAGTTTGTGACGTCTAATGAGGTAAAATGATGTTATATATTAAGACGATCTTGCCACAACGACAAGGATTAAAGCAAAATTGATGTTCTGTTTGTAAGTTTTGTTTGTTTATAAGTGCTGTTAGTTAATAATTCAAACCAAGCCCCCAGACTAGCTTCTTATCATGGCGCCAACTCGCACGTACATTGTTCTGTACGCTTACGTCATGTCGAGAAGGATTCATAAGCCGCCATACAGTAAATACACTGTAAATCAAGTCACGCAGTTACAATAAACTTTGAAGATACAAGAAACCATTTTTTGCTTACTTACGGCAGATACGTATCTCTGCTTACGGTTAATATGGTTGTTTTCTAGGAATATTCACAGCACAGGTCGAGGATGTCCGTGAGCAAATTCCGTAAAATATATTGTTCAAAGTTTATCAATAGTTCAACAACACCGTGCTTCTTTTTTGAAATATATAGTAATCGTATTGTTATTAATAAAAATAAACTTATTGTGAATGCTTTCAAAATAGCGATTTAAAAGATCGCGGCATTATTTACGCAGAAAATTGCCGCTAGAGGGCTCTAACTCTTTTCGATATTTCAGCCAATGAGAAGGCCAGGATCGGTAAATTTTGTCTGAAAGGCCGTCGCAATAGGCTGTACGTACTGAGTACGTTTAGCCTAATAATATTAAATCAAAATGACGAATCATAAAAAATACATTGGTCAGACCACGGACTTGTCTATATTTAAGTCCGTGGTCAGACAGGATATCATTGAGAATTTTAGTGTCACGGATTTACAAAACATTTTTTACGATATAGAGTGATATTTCAGATGTGAATAGCTCAAACCCGATTTTTGTTTTTAAAAAATCTAAAGTAAACAAAAGGTATTGGTCATAAAAGCTAGCGAGATCAATTAGAAAATTGAGATTTCTACTGTTTGTTTTTGGAAAGATTAATTAGGCACTTTTGGAGAAAAATGGTAATCAAACACAGCAAAGCTAATTAACTCTAACTTATACAGTATTTCTATTCAATATATTCCATAATACAATACAGAAAATGTCAATCTATACGTTATAATTAGGACGTTTCGAGACAATCATAAAATCATATTTCAAAATAGATACAAACATGCATTTTCTAGCATTTGAAACAACTAAGAAAAGGTAGAAAAACAGTCTCAAATCTTTTAATATTACTTTTCTGAATTTACCTGACATAGCTAACCTTCAAGACTTGGATGCTAGTATCGCATTTAGTATACTGTATATCAATATATTGGACTTGCGAAAAAATCACGGACTTGTTGCTCGAAAATTAAGGCCATGGTTTGATGTTGTAACAACCACGTAAAAAGGTTACAAAATAGTGTTGACTTAAGGACTGGTATTTATAAATGCAAGTCATAAAGCTTAGTGAAATTTGAAATGTACGAGTTCAATGAAATCGAGATTTGCTCTGTGTTCATATTCGAAAGAATCATTGCCACTGTAGAGGAAAAATGTCTTTTAAGAAATGAAGTGGATGATATCATTGTCCTTCTCCTTAGTGTAATGAGTTAGTTTAAGATAAAGTTAACGGTAGATGATGTAGATCCCTTCCGATCAGAATTCTTGATGAAGAGTTTTCAGTTCTTAATCTTCATATTGTTATTGCTACTGTAATAATCAATTGTTCTGTTCATTTTTGTTCAAATTCAGGATCTTCTCGCAGTTTTATTTGTTTAACTAAATCCTGTAGTGTCTTTATCATACGTCCCTGACCAAATCAGATAATTTCTTCTTTTATTGACTGTAGTAATGTGTGAAATCATATAGGACATAGAGTCAGACGGTGAGAAATTAGCACGTGAAAGAGATGGCTATAGTTCACACCTGTTTAGTAAACCACAGGGGTTCTCAGTTGGGGTTTACTGGCGTGTCCTTCGAAATAACCATATGCACTCATGTGATAAATTGTTATGTTCTTATTCAATAAGATACGGTTGAACTGAATTGTAACACTCTGATTGTATATAATAATGTCTGAAGGTGGTTATTTATTGTTTGTGATTTTGAACATGGACAGTTATGTTATCATGGATTCAAAATCGAAACAAGTCTGACATGTTAAGTATTTATCCTCTATGTAGGCTACAACACAAACCTATATAACTATGGCTGTACGGGTCTCTGTGTAAAGCAGTACCTACTAAGTTGGAAAAAATCACTCGTCCATGACTGGCCCCATTCTACCTGTGGGTTCCCGTGCCTACGACTCGATAAGCGCTAAGGGGACGCAACCCATGGTATCTCATAAGAATAGCTGCATATGTGACTGACAATGGAATTCCGGTTTTTATTTAAGACCTAAGTTAATAAATTATCATGCGAGGTTTGCGATATCCTTTTATGAAAGCTGTCTTGATCAATTTCTTTAGGAACTTGTGTTTCGTTTACCTGACAAGCAACGTTGAGTGAATACTTGGCCATGTCTTAACCTGTGAAAAGCATTTCGACCAATCAGAATACAATAAAAAATACAGTCGTACATTAAATGTATTTACCGAGGACGTCCACAACAGGATCGGTCAATTGTGGTGAAAGGTTCACCCTGCAGTGTATAAGCATGATGATTTGAAAGTTTGTGTTAAATGACATTGATACATCGATCATAAATACCAGATCAGCGATTACAGCCCGTCGGGTCTCTTGTTTCTGTGCGGTCAGTTTATACTTCATCATACTGAAAAATAAGTTTCAAATCTTGCCTATATGTTAATAAGTTATATTTGTTTGGGTAGATGTTTGATTCAATAACGATGGCACATGTTAATAGATAATTTCATATTATTAACAGCAAAAACATGTCTCGCGTCATAGCTGTCAGTACTTTCAGTACTTTGATTTTAATTTACTAATGATGTCATAAAGTTTCATGTAAGCCTTGCTCTGCTGAGTAGGGTGTGAAGAAATATATACCTCTGACATATACCTTAAACCTGACCTTGACACCTACAAATCTACAGAATGAACGATTTATGGAGATATTTTGCCATTCTTGGAAAATACCTGACGTTGCATGGTATTGTGAAGCATGGGGAAATGAACCGGGGTCAAAATACCATAACTTGTGGTAAAGTGTGAAATGACCCCCTCCCCCGAATAGGTCAAGCCACTTTATATTTTGTTTTTAAAGTTCCTTCAAACATAATAAAACTGAAAAATAACAAGGGTAGATGAAATTTAGGGTTAGACATGGTGAAGTGAACGGCGGTTCACTTTACCATGGGCTTCACTTAATCATACTACACCTGATAGTACAATACGGAAAGTCTCTGACTTTTCCGGCCTTGTGATATCAGATACCAGTACTTAGTAAGGTATACATGTAGATATGTGTCGTGCATAATAATCGTAAATTTGTTTAATAGCACACACATGACTTATGACCTTTATTAACCATCATAACAATCAGCTGGGATCGAAAAATACCAGTACCAAAGCCAAACAATGTAGGTCGCCATTATAATAGATACCATTGTACATAAGATAGATGTCGTAACCGCCGCCAAGTAAAAACAACACCACTGTGGTACATCAAGAAATAAAACAAAAACACATATTAATAATAAGTACAAATGATTGATAAAGGTAAGTAACATCTAACGTAAGGAAATGACCAATAAAACCACGTTTGATTTGTATGGAACTACTTGGACCAAAATTCCACAGATCGAAAATATATGTGGTATCGACATAAATTTGATCAATCGTTTATGACGTAAACAATATTTAGAAATTTTAATCTTTACAGATGTACGAAACATGATGAAAATACAGCTAACATGAAAACGAATAAAAAATATAACATATTGTCAGATTTTGTTTTTTTAAGTGTACCGACACATCCTGGGATTTTTTTTTTTCATATCCTGAAAGGTCACCGGAACATTAGGAACGACCTGTATTCTTTGATTAGACGTCAGACATGGAATTTGGTGGACGATCGATTTTCTAATTTGTATTTATTTTAGTCGAGCAACAGTTTACTTGCTGACACTTACAATTTAAGAAGGAGACTCCCGATTTTTTAACCCTTTTCAAGTGAATTTACTAAACTATTCTTATATCTCAACATTCCAGAATATGCCATTAGCCATCATTTCCTGTTTACTGGAGTGTAAATTCACATATTTTATTTGTGCTTTAATTTTTAAGAACTAATTCGTCCTGTAATTTTTTGTAAAAATGGCAAGTATTCAAGTAAGTGATCTTCCGGACTTTGAGGCAGCTACCGTACTGCATTTAGTATCGCCGTATAGTCGGGGTCTCAGAAACGCTATAAAGCGACCGGCTGTTTACTTTTTTGGCCTTGGAGGACAATCATGCATGTGTTCCGGTCCCATTGTAAATATTCGCTGTTAAACCGCTCACTACATGTTTTGAAGGACTCGTATGGTCATCACTCAAGTAGAACATCATTATGTGTACAAGTTACCCAATTATTTTCAACGACACCACAATATTATCATGACCTCGACTTTGGGAAGAAGAAAACGTCCACTATTTGTAGGCGTAATGGAACAGGGATTCATCTGTCAAAACACAAGATAATTCAGCTACCTGTGCGATTTTTCAATGATTTCAAAATTGACGACAATGACGAGAAAAAGCCAGTCAAATTTTCCACTCCCAGGGATCGCATACATGGCGGGAAGTACTCTGATGACAATATACTTATGCCAAGCTTTCCAGCTTATGTTTTCCCCAATCTTTTTGGAATTTATGAGAATATCATGGCTGGCTCTAGAATCAACAAAGTAGACAGTGAGCTTACAGTACTAGATTTCATGACTGCTGCTAAAAAGGTAAAAATCAAAATGTGACCAAATTACTTTACACTTATGTGTTCACTACAGTAGCTACTTTTATTATTTTTATTAAAAGACAAAGAATGAAAAGTGAACACCATGCTTTTGCTAACCATCAGTATTCTGTATTAAAAAAAATATAAGCTTTATTGATCTAAACTCAAATTTCGAAACCATGGCACATCTATCAAACTTTGTCTCATTTATTATCTGTATGTGATATGAAAAAAACCTGGTTATGCTTTTTCTTGCCTGAAATGAATTCAGGGTTCATATTTCATTAGGTTATCTGAGACAATTTCTAGGGGTGACCTAATACAATACCCTTATGTCCGGCATTGTGCATTGTAAACTTTTAACATTATAGACTCCTGAACCGATTTCAATGGAATTTTACAGAAACCTTCCATGTCTAAAGGTGCATTCAATTCGTAAATCATACGGTCTCCAACCCCCAGTGGTGGGAGAGACGGGGTCAAATTTATTGAAACCTCAAAAATCTTCTCAAATCCCAGGTATGGTAGAATCAGTTTATATAGGAAAATTACACTTTAAGATGCGGTGCGTCTGTAGGACGCTCTTTGTATATAGCCATCACCTTGATCACCTGCAACTAATTATAGCCTGGTCTGAAGTTTACGCTACAAAAAGACCCAACAGCACACATATACCTCAGCAAAGACAGTATCAAATGTGTTTTGAAATTAGTTAATGAAGTAGTTGATGCTGTTATTAAGGCTAATAGATAAAACAGAGAATGCAAAAATATTATAAGGAGTCGTGATTTGGATGACAGCTTGGAACTATTTCGTGCAGATATTATCATACTTCTTCTCTGATTGGAAGAAAAAAACTTATTATCTGCACTCTTTGATTTCTTTCCCTTCATCCATACTTTCGAAGTTTCATATCCACAAGTTATTTTGCGATAAGGATCTTAATTCCAAGACTCAACTAAAAAGATGTTGAAATATTTTTGACTTTTCTGTTGAAGATATCAGTGTTGCATATATCACAAGTTAAAAGGGTAACTAATTTCCAATATAATTGTAAAATCAAAAAGTTTTTATTTTAGTTTCATTTCAGTATATTTACCATGCATACGACAGACTTCTAAGATCAATTTTCTGACATGATTTATCACATAGACATTTGAAATATATATCACTTTTCAAAAAAGTTATGTGATTACAATAAATTAATTGAAAAGTTTGCGAACATTTTAAATATGAAACAATAAAGACCAGTGTAGAGCTTTTATCATAAATTCTGGTTCTAAGCTTAAACTCTGCTTATAAGCATGGACAGGAAAACGATTAAGAGCATGAAAGATGTATTGCTTAAAGAAAAAAAACGTTGGCAAATTACATATATGCAAACAGTCTTTAGATAACATCATAAAATATTCTGAGCTAATAAAGGTTAGCTCCTAGCTGTAGAGATTTGAATTAGGCCTATAGCCTATATTCTTCTTCATGGGTTTTACCTCCACCAATACTAATGATTCTTGTGAGGTCTATAGTGACACTTTGGTCTCTAGTCAGACAATCTACCAATAGTTCCCACAAGCCATGGTTAGAAAGGTGACCATGAGTACCCTCAACTTCTAGCATCAGGAGGACTTATCAGTTTTAAACCTAAGCTTTGTGTTTGAGAACTACAGGGTTGTAAGGTTTAGTACTCGAACAAGCTATGAACTGATGAAATGTTATTGGTCACTTTTGTGTAAAGTACTTGAAAATGATAATAATAACGAAACCCAGGTAATTGGATAAACAAGCAAGTAATTGATCAGATACTAGCCAGTTATAGTAAATGATCAGTGATGTTAAAATCTCAATCCATATTCCACGAACACAAGAAAATACTTGACTGAGTTCATAACTTTAAACCTTCAGTGGCCTATAACTGTACTTTACACTAAAAAATGTGTAAATTTCAGAGTCACACTGTGACTGGGCTTGTCATTGCCTCTCCAATCACACTGGCACCAAAATGTTCACATGAAAATTTTGTCATGGCTATATTTTGAAGATATGTATTTTTAGGTCACCTGAGCCTAAGGTTCATGGTGACCTATTGCCATCATGATTTGTCTGTCGTGTAAGGTTAACTTTTCACATATTTGACTTATTCTCAAGAACCACTGAATGGGTTTTGACCAAACTTGGCAAAAAGCATCCCCATGAGAAGCCGCTTCTGGTTTGCGAAGAAAAAGGGTGTGGCCCCAATAGGGGCCGCAGGAGTGGGGAAAGGGGGGGTAAAATTAGGTAAATCTTTAAAATTCTTCTCATCATGAACCAACACTCAGATTGAATTCATATTTGATATTTAGGGTCCTTATGGCAAGGTCTACAAAGTTTGCAAATGAAAAAAAATCGGGTCAAAAACGGCCCCACTAGGGGGTGCTCAAAAGGGTCGAAAATTCAACTTTGACTGATTTCAACGAAATTTGGCAGACAGCATCCCTTAGTGAAGGACATATGAAATTAAGTTGAAAAAAGTGATAATGTCCCCTTTGGGGCCCATAAGGGGTGTAAAAGGGGTCATATGTAAAAATCTTCTTTAAATGACCTTCTCAAGAACCAGTGGATGGATTTTGACCAAACTTGGCACAAAGCATCCCAATGGGAAGCCGCTTCAAGTTGGTAAAAGAAAAGGGTGTGGCTTTAATAGGGGCTACAGGAGGGGGCAAAAAGGGGTAAAATTAGGTAAATTTTAAAAATCATCTTCTTATGAACCAAGTATCATATTTTCCTAAAATTAAAAATTAATGGTTCTTAGAGCAAGGTCTACAAAGTTTGCGAATTAGAAAAAAATTGGGTCATAAACAGGCCCTCCAGGGGGCACTAAAAAGGGGTCTAATTCAAAGTTGACGGATTTCAATTAAATTTAGTATATAGGGTCCCCTAGTGAAAAACATGTGACTTTGAGTTGAAAAAAAGTGTCAAAAAAAGGGGTCAATTAGATTTTTTTTTGAAAATGGGTTCTAATGGCATTGACCATGTTTTGGGGTTACAACCACACTAAGCACAAAGAATCTGTGTAATAAGACACATTTAGTTTGAGGGAAAAAAAGTAATGGCTGCAATAGGGGCCCTAGGTGGGGGTAAAAAAGGAGTTAAATTAGGTAAAATAAGCTTCTTTAAGTTTACAATAAAAAGGTGTGGCCTCAATGGGGGCATATTTAAGGGGCAGAAAGGGGTAGAATTTGTTAAATCTTAGCAAATCTTGTTGTCCTGAACCAAAAGTGTAACTTCATATAGATGATCTTTAGGGAATGGACTGCAAAGTTTGTGAGAATAAAAATAACTGGTCCAAAATCAGCCCTTCTGATATTTGTTACAAATATATCTTTAATAAAGACATGTTGTGTGTTTATGACAACCATATAGGTGAGAAAAAATGTGTAGCCAGATCTTTCATCAAACTCGGATCTTATTATTTGCCGAACCTTCTATGTTCTGAGCTACATGTATAATATGGTTCAATACCTGTGGTAACACTACATTTCTCAGCCTTGATACATATATATATTCCTGTCTCAGAAGTACCACAAGATGTTTTCACATTGTTTTATGTGAGGTTTTTTTAGTTGGATGCCTTATTGTATTAGGCAAGGAAAAGATTGTGGATAGACTTGAAATTGATCTGATTTTTTGAATACTTTAGCTATACATGTATCTACTAAACTATTTCAACTTGTAAATGAAAACATGATTTGCTTTATATAAATGTGCAACCCTGGCCTCTGTTTGGCTAAGACATTTTGGAGTTCCTCTCAAGAACCACTGAGTGGATCATGTTCAAACTTGGTACAGATGTTTTACACGGTCCTGCACAAGTGTTGTTACATTTTTGCACCATTTTAAAATCCCCAGATTATTGACATATATTCCTCAGGTGACCGTTAAGGCCCCTTGGGCCTCTTGTTGAGTGTTACCAATCACTAAATATCATATGCCATTCCATACTGATTAACCGCTTTCTTTATTTTTATAATATACATCATACACAGCATCTTTGAGTGTCCTCAACACTTTGATTGAACATAATTTAAGACAAGGTCAGGTCTATGTATTGAGTAATACTCCTAATATGCTACTATGTACACACAGTCCCGACTGAGTGAAATGACTCCAGGCATTTCAGTTGTAGGCATTATTCCCAACACACTTAAAAAATATTAAATTGTAATGAGAAACCAGCTTGAACCAACATCATTGTTCCAGCATAAGGTATATACTTAGGTGGAAACTATGCAAATATGCTATGTTGACACTGACTATATTTAGATCGTCCAGATGTAACTTACAAGTACACATTTTAGCAACATCCAGGATTTAAAATGTAGGTCCAATATATAGGTATACATAACTAGATAATATCATGTTTACAAATGACAGGTTATAAACACCTGTATAGATTTCGGATGTCCTATGATCCAATCTCCTTATATCGTATATTATGATGTAATCCCCATAGCCTCGACTCATGTACAGACCTTTCATACTGGTGTTTCTTCTGAGCAGTTTGTTTGGATGCCTCAGTCTGGACTGCTTTATAAGCACACTCCATCCTTTTCCGCAATTTGCTAACATAGGAGGAGTGGTCCCCTGCTCCCTGCTGACCAGGGTCAGCACCAAAAAAGCATCTACCGATAACCGAGGGTGCCATCGAACATGAGATAGTGGGATGAAAAGCTGGTGGCGCCGCTCTTAGTGGTGTTATATGCCTGAACCAGTGATGCTATGTAAGACTTCCAGTCCGTTTTTCTCTCATCCTCTATAAGGTAGCAAACATACCCAGGAGAGTTCTATTGAACCAGTCAATCGAGCCATTTCCCGCAGGGTGGTAAGAAGTAGTCCTGGTCGTTTTGACCCCTGCTAGCTTGCAGAGCTCTATAATCACTTTGGACTCCAAGTTACAAAACAATTTGGTGTAATTTTGTGATTTTTATATCAGAAATCATTAAAATCTTTGTTTAGATCAAGATGAAGAAATGTCAATCGGATCAATAATGTGTAAAAATCCTCAAATAATGCAAAATAAACACAAGGAAAAAAGTTATATATATGTTATTTTTGTGGTTTATAAAAAAGCATGTTTTCTCAATTAGCTGTGATGGCAATGATGATGATGGTGTCAACGTGATGATAATGAGTATTGTTTAGTGGATTGATAGTGAGCGTTTGAAACGTCTTTGTGGATATTTATTTATATTATATAGAATCTTCAAAAATTAAAAAAATATGTGAAAAAAAATTAGTTTTCAAAAGATATTGAATAATCTTCAAAAATATAAAAAATATGTGAAAAAAAAAATTCAAAATTATCAGAAGATATTGAATAAAATTTTATTCTGTCCACTGAAAAGGTACAGATCTGTGATAAAAAGGATGAAGTCACTGCAATAGTATACGCACAGCAAGGTTCCTGGAGTGTATCTCAGACAATCGACATGCTAGGAAACAGGAACAACATGTACATGAGAAAGTTGTATATTGTATAATTACTGGTTTTTGGGGGCAAATCTCCCTTTCTTTTTCATGTATTAACCATCAAACTCAATTTCAGAATGTGTACTATTTAAGTCTTGAACCTGGTTTGATGGTGCAGTGGTTCAGGGTTCAATTCCCCAAATGGATGTGAAAATGTATTGGGTCACCTGCCTGGCCGCGTAGGGTTTCCCCGGATACTCCAATTTCATTCCACAGTAAGACCCAAGCGTGCTGACATTCGGGCCAGCAAGAGTGATTAATATAGGCTGTTTCACAATTGTTGTAAAGTAAATAAAGTTTATTTATAACTTGGACCTGACCATTGATTTTTAGGTCATCTGACCCGAAGGGTCTGTAGCATGCTTGGTGCTAGGGCTACCAAGTTTGTTGATATGAATGACCTTGACCTGCTTTCAAGGTCACAGGGGTCAAATAGCTTTAAACCTCTTAACAATTACTCAGTAACTAAATGGCAATGGAAACTGGTATAAGGTCTGTAGCATGACAGGATGAAGGGCTACCAAGTTTCTTAATATGAGTTACCTTCCTACTTTCAAGGTCACAGGAGCTTAAACGATTTCTTCTCAACAATCAAAAAGCACAGGGTGCTGATATTAGGCCTGTAGCATGCTTTTTAGATAAACAATATGTCTGGAGTAATGGCATTTGTGTAATGCATATATAAAGAATATGATTTCAAGTTTGCAGAAAATTTCTATGAACCTTCTATACAAGCTGTAGTGTAGTTTAGCAATTAATTTTAAACCTTTTTGGCTTCTTTCATATACAGTTAGATGACCCTAAAGGCTGCTTGGCCTCTTGTTTGAGGATATTTTTTAAAAGTAAGTCCAGAACACTGATAACAAAATTTCCGTGTTTCCCCATAAATAGTATAGCATGATCTCAAAGTTGGAGTGAGTCCGACAGGAATAGCATGAGTCCAGGACTCAAATATTGGAGTCCGGGAAATCACTGCTGGAACTTCTAACTCAATGTATTATAGAACATAGCTTGGACTCTGATTCCTGAACAGTCAATCAAACATTGGAAATAGGTAATTCATTATTATACAGTTTGACATATAATAAAATGTCACCCTGACAAATCTCTACTTGACCTTGACTCTAGATATTTTAAAAACCTGTCTGATACAGGTTTCCAGAGCATACCTTGCCTATTTCTTCATTCATGGACTAGACATTTTATGTGAATGTATAGTATTATATCTGGTATATGTAAGAACTCAACTTGAATGAGGGGGTGAAAAAATGACATTTTTGTTTTATTAATGACAAAGAAATCTGAAGACCTACTCAAAGTGAATTAAATATCTTTGATTATATTTAATAAAGGTAGAATTCAATCACAACATACCCAAGCGTTACCAATTAGTGGGGAATTTATTATGGTCGACTAGTTTCGCCTCTAGGGTGAGCTTATATTTTATATAAAAAGACATTTGCAATAGATGAATTTTCAGTAAGATTGTTTGTAAGGTTTTATCATTTGCTGTATTTTTACTTTTTCCAGGCTGTGTTTGTAATAGCAAATCTACTGTCCAGTGGAAAGGTTGATGAAATAGAAAGTTTAACAACACCAAAGGTAAGAACATATTTTTAGGCAATGTGTCCTGCTTTTTTTTTCAGAAGTCTGATTATGGAACCTTGTCCTCCCATCAGTCAGGGTTGAATGATTTGCTATAAATTCACAGTCCCATTAAGTGTCTTATATGTACAATGTGGTAACTCCCCAGGAAAAGGAACTGGACAAGTTTTACATATAAAGCAATATATAAAGGTTTCCTGTTAAACATGACATATATTTCACAAATATGACAGAATATCTATGATTTTTACGAGTGTGAAGGACAAGTGACAGGTAAAATATATATGATATTTCAGGAGAAACACTTAAGTTTTCATTTTATTACTTTTTAAATTAAAAAAAAATAGAAGAAAGCCAATCTGAACGTGAAACTGGAAATTGTTTGCAGACCATTTATCAACTTCTCACCCGTATCTAACATAATTGGAAGGCTATGCTTTATATTATCAATTAGGGGTTTGTTAGGCATAAAACTAAGCATGTTTTTCATGTTCATTTAACTTCATACTGAAAATTTTCATAGAGTACTGAAATACTGTTGCACAATAACAGATTTCTTAAAATACTTACAAATTCCTTTGTAACCTAGAAATAGGGCCAAAGTCTTTAATTTGAACAGAGGTGATAACTATTAAAGTCTAAATATTGCCACTTTGTGTCTCTTGTTTATTGAGAAGCTGTCATTTATAGAATTAGTATTTTTTGTATAGAATTTAATTCTTTGACCTTGAAAATGGGTCATTATGACAGTAAGTTCTCCTGATAAAGTGATTTACCAGGCAAATGGCAGAAGGTTGAAAATTTGATAAGAAGAAACCCTGATGGTAAAAAACAATAAGAATATTAAAAATCAAATAAACTGGTATGAAAAAAAGTTTGAGAAATAAAAGTGCATTCTTTGATGTTGTTCAATTCGATGTTACACTTGACAACAACACAACAACATTTTGAATTAGCAGGTAACTTCATTAGATGGTATGCTACCATTTTCTGCTGGTAAGAGTAACTTACAAAACTTTTATTACAAATAAGAGAACCTGAAATGTAGAAAAAAAAACCTATTCTAAACGGGCTTCATTTGTGTCAGAACAGGAAAGTCATTTTCAGTGATGTGACTGGAAAGCACCACTTTGACGGGTCAAAATCTGGTAAAATAAGAACTGTATGGTTGTGTTGTTTGATACTAAATTATCAATTTCATGGCAAAATTTATATTTCAGGCCTTCCAAGAGATCAAGAAGAACTTTCCCAAGATACCTGAAACTCACCTGAAGGCCCTAGAACAGGAGGAGACCATGATCCTTATACCTTTACGCCACATACACCGTGTAAGATTGAATCACAAAGGTATCATTTTCTATATTAAAAGATAGATGACATTATCAACTAATGATATTTTTATACCCCCCGCAACGAAGTTAGAGGGGGTATACTGGAATCAGGCTGTCCGTCCGTCCGTCCATCTGTCCGTCTGTCTGTCTGTCTGTAGACACATATTGTCCAGCTAACTCTTCCTAAACCTGTAAACAGATTTTGATGAAACTTTTACAGGAACATTAAGGATAATGTGTAGATATGCATGCCCCTTTCTTTTTTTGAAAATTTTGGTTGCCATGGTAACTGGTCACTATAAACAAGTTTTCTAATAAATGTCCATAACTCCTCAGTTATTTGACCGATTGTATTCAAACTTAGTAAAAAGATGTAATTCAGTAAGGCCAATAATTGGACATATTAGACGTTTCCCATATTGTTACCGCGGAAACACAATCCTGGCTTCTGATTGGTCAAAATTTAGATATTGTCCAATTTTGACCAAATTTGGTATATAGGGTTATTAGGGGATGCCAAACATTATAAAATAGGTTTCGTTGCCATGACAAACATGAGTGTTTAGTGTAGATCAAGAACATAACGGCAGACATTTTTCAGTTAAACAAATTTGCCATCATTGGTCAAAAAGTTATTAAATATTGCAGATTTTAACGGTTTCTCGGCATGAAGAAGAAGATGCAGGCACATGCAGAATATGTCAATTACTCTCAGAATAACACTTTAACTTATCCATTAACTCGTTGCAGTGTGCGGGGGGGTATTGGTCAGCCATCTAGGCGACAGTTCTAGTTCCAACTCCGTGACTAGCTGTAATCTAAGTTCATGTGATTCCTGATAAAATGGTTGACCTGACATCTAAAATTTAAACATGGAAAAATCTGAATGAATGGTGCTGATTTCTGAACAAAGTATATCACATCTATTGTAATGACCTCTATATGGATATATGTTAGAGTTATTGAGCTTGGAATTGTGTAACGTCACAAATAGCAGATACCATATACTATTTTTAGCAGATAGTGAGCCACATTTTATGTACCCTAAGGGAGTTACAGACGAAATTATTTGTCCTGATGAGCCCGGGAGGGCATAACCATTTGACAAGTACCTATTATTACATGTCCACTTCCTTGGCTGTTGTGATATCCTTACCTGATCTTTTATAAAAGGTTTCCAACCTTTATTGAAAAGAGAAAGTGTACCTCCATCAATTTTTGTAATGTAAGTTGGCAGAGTTGGAATTGTCTCTTTTCATGGAAATAAGATAGAAATATCATTTAATACAGGTATTGTAAAACACAATGCTCTAAAAACTTTGGACACATATTGTGCTTACATGCTGCGCACACACGCAGGAAACAGCATTGTGCGAGCAACTGTACAATAGGATTTATTTATATTATATAGAATTTTTATGTTTATCTTTATGCTGTTTTGTATGGTTGGGTAAAAATGGTTGGCTATTATTACGGATTGAAACTCAAATGGAAAATTTGTGAATTGTAAATTACTAAACAGCAATCACAGGAATATTAGAATTGATTGGTAATAATAAAATTCATTTTAATTTGACAGTTCTCAAAATAACATTGGACATGCATTAATTAGTCTTGTATAGAAACAGCAAGTAAGTGGTGAGTAGTGGTGCCTCATGCAACAAAATTTTACCTGTATACAGGTATATGGGTGACAGGTCCAGAACTGTACCAACTGGGTCATATGTGTAACAATCACAACACTTACGATTTACCTGTATACAGGTATATACGTGACGGGTCCAGAACTGTACCAACTGGGTCGTCTGTGTAACAATCACAACACTTAGGATTTACCCGTATACAGGTATATACGTGACAGGTCCAGAACTGTACCAACTGGGTCGTCTGTGTAACAATCACAACACTTAGGATTTACCTGTATACAGGTATATACGTGACAGGTCCAGAACTGTATCAACTGGGTCGTCTGTGTAACAATCACAACACTTAGGATTTACCTGAGCATGTATATTTTTTGTTTACCAAATGAATGAAAAATGAGAATAATGCAGATGTAATAAATGTGTATTATCCTGAAAAGGCTCTACAATAGTGTATTATCCTGTAAATCCTTTACACATGTGTATTTTCCTAACAAGGCTCTATACACATGTGTATTATCCTTAAAAGGCTCTACACTAGTGTATTATCCTGTAAACCCTTTACACATGTGTATTATCCTATCAAGGCTCTACACACATGTGTATTATCCTAACAAGGCTTTATGCACATTTGTATTATCCTGTAAACCCTTTACACATGTGTATTATCCTAAAAAGCCCTGTACACATGTGTATTATCCACACAAGGCTCTATACACATGTGTATTATCCTAAAAAGACCTATACACATGTGTATTATCCTGTAAACCCTTTACACATGTGTATTATCCTAAAAAGCCCTGTACACATGTGTATTATCCACACAAGGCTCTATACACATGTGTATTATCCTAAAAAGACCTATACACATGTGTATTATCCTGAAAAACCAGGTACACATGTGTTTTATCATAAAAAGGCCCTTTACACTTGTGTACTATCCTAAAAATGCCAAATACACATGTGCTTTATCAGTTTTCTGATACTTTTAAGTTTGAATGTTTGTTTATGTTGCTGGGTTTGATCAGCCGGGGCCATTTTGGTGCAAGGTCTCCATGTAGCTGGTGACCATGGCTCTACACACAGAATACCTGTAAATGCTATCTAGAACAATTGGTATAAGACATCTTGCCAAATCGGTAAATGTTTCTTAGTTTTTAAGGGAGTTTTGAACCATGCACCTCAGATATTCTGAGGCTATGTTTGTAACCACTGAACTATTGCACTCCACCTCACCCGCAATGGGTAAGGCTCTCAAGCTGTGTTTCATATATATGCATTTTATACTTAGTTTATGTGGCAGGCATTGTCTACTAGGTATACCTATACTCACACCTGGGTATTCAGTGTATTTACCTGTAGCAACATTAGATATTATGGTGTATTTGAAAGGTCTGTGTAACATTTCAAATTCAAATATTAGTTAGAGATTTAGGTTTCATCTTTAAGTAACTTAGCACCAAATGATTGTAATATCTTTAATTTTTAGATTGTTAACCAAACATCTGGGCATTAATTATCCAATTATTTGAGTTTTTAGCCCAAATTGTGCTTTGTCCAATTTGGATTTATAAGAAAAACAAGATGGCTGACAGGTGGCAGTCTTGGATTTTGACAAGAGATTTGTTGTCACTATTTTTTTACAAAATAATTGATTGATTTTTCTCGTACATTTTATTTCACAACTAGTTCCCAATAGATGCTTGTTTTTCATTAATTCTCAGATCAATAAAAGTTGGGTGAGGGGCATCCATCTTGGATTTTATTGCTATTTCTTGAAAAGTACTGGTTGGATCATTCCTAAATTCTGCTAATTTTGTAGGGTCCACTTTAGCTTGGTCATGCATTGTCTGTTTTGGATCAAATCAGATAAAACAAAATGCTTACAGGCAACCATATTGGATTTTACTTTTAAAGATAAACCAATCACAAACATGAGGAATGAAGACAGATGATGTGTTGTTGGGCACCACATGACTATGTAAAGTGGATAACTTGTACTTTTTCTTTGTTGATTCGTTGATTTTTTATGGATTTAATTATTTTGAGATGTGATCGGATATTTATTATGTGGGAAAGGGTTAGCATGGGTATTTACTCAGCTTAAAATTCCTGTTTTCTTTGAAGCCATGCCAAATGAAGCAGAGTCAGAGGAAGCAGCACTGGAGATTGTGGTGCTTTTTGAAGGATACATGAGGGAAAGTGTTGATGAAGAGCCAAAAGTGTTCGTCAGTTTGAAAGGTCGCAGCAGATTCTGTTGTACTGCAAGGTAATTATATTATAACAGACTGATGAAGTTGTCTCCCTTGAGATGTTGTTTGCCAGTACTTTACATGTATACATAACCTCTCATTTAAAGACGAGTCTGCTTGGAACCATTACAGATAGTGAAAGTATCCCGCTGAAAGACTTCCTGTTAATACACAAGTTTGTCTTTTCAGCATTGCTCGGCCACCTGTAAAAAGCTGTAGAAAATTAGAATTTTAGGTTATCCTAATTACAGATTTTATATGCCTATCAAAAAAATTGACAGGATATGTTGATAGAATTGTCCATATTTGGAGAGTCCTAGCCATTGTTGCTATTAAGATCACATTTTTGCAATGTCTGGTGTCACTGTGTGACTTCTTCTAAAAAACCCCTGATCTGATTTCATTGAAATTTCACAAAAAATCTTCTCTGGTCAAGGAGGAACCAAAATAGTGAATTTTACAGTTCCCACCCACAAAGGCCTGAGGGACGGGGCCAAATGATCAAATTGTATCATATTCAAAAGTCTTTTTCTCAGCACCCAGATACAGAGAAATCAAATGCTGTTCATGAATGGAAACCTGTTCAGGTGTTTTTCCAAACTTGTGAATTTCATGGCCCTAGGATCTAACATTTAAAAATTAAAAATTGACTTTATTTCATGTAGGAAAATTACATTTTTGAGCATAATTTGTTTATCTTCTATTGGAAAGAGTGCATGCTTGGTTACAATTGTTACTATAGAATGACAGATTGATGATATGTACATACTGACCTTGGCTGACCCCTAGAGGCTGATGGGTGGGGCCAAAAAATGGATCAAATTGACTGAAATTTCCAATTTAATACACAGATAATTAGAACTCAATACTCTTCATAGATGGATATAGTTGTAGAGAAAAATGTTAGTTAGGGTTAGGGACCATAGCTTTCGAAGATTTTGAAATATTGAAAAAATTTTATAGCTCTGTTTGTATTTCTGTCTTGAATTATATTGTTTTCAATATTTCTAAATAAATATTTCTTTAATTGTTTGTAGGTTTGAACGTGATTACCGCAAAGATTTGGACAACTCAACATGGGAAGGCTCATCTGCATGGAAAGTATCTGGAATTTCTTACCTAATCCGGACAGTAGATGATGTAAAGGAAGAAGTAAAGGACTATGCTATTTAAACTTTAAATTAAAGTTGATGACAATTTTATATTTGTATCATGTCTTTAACTATTCGTTATTTGAGAAGTCAATAAAAGACAAGATGTTTGTTTTTTGAATGTTTAGATCTTCCTATTTCACCTAGCCTGAAACTCCAAGTGAGTCTGTGACATGACAGAGGTCAGCCCTCAGCCCAACAGTCAACTTTAAGTATAAAAAATTCCTAGGTATCTATGAAGATTACATTTGGTCAAAATTTGTCTATTTAGATGACAAGAACTAAACTTTGTGTTAAAGATAGGTCTTGACCCGAGGACCTTGAAAGATGGAATCCAATATGGTAGTTAGTGTTTTACCTTCAAATCACAATTCTGTCCAGCTGAAGGTTTCCCCATCCAAATATACACGGATTAACAACATCCATTAGTGAAGGTGTAACAATTTTGTAAAGACATGGGTCAGGTTTCTTTAGGAGAAAGAGGGGCTAGTTCTTTAAGTCCTTCTGTTATGATGAAGTTGATTTGATGATGATTTGGTATAAAGCATCATTAGGGAAACGGGAACCAATTTCATTATGAAAAGAAACTGCTGTACAATGTATTGTGATAGAATACCACAAATAAGCTGTGAATTGTTCAATATAAAAGAGGTATGGCGTGCAACAGCCTGAACGTGGCTGACAATAAAGAGGAAAAAAATCATTTTCAATTTCAATGGATGTGGATAGATATACCAGAAAAATATACACTAAAACATAGTGGTATCTCTTACTTCAAATACAATTTTGGCACACAGTGCACACGGGTACCAACTTTAAAACATTTGACCAAATCCAGTATTATCTGATGTAGCTGAAATCCTACCCTCAAAAATTGGTACAAGCGTGTGTGGATAACGACAAAAATGAAAAATCAAAAGTTTTTTTACTTAATCTTCCAGTTTTGAATTGACGACTGAAATTTTGATGATTTGTTTATCTGTGTCTAGCACTGACGGTTAGACGTTATATTAGCATTAGCAGTGTTCTTACTAGGTCACATGTTCAATCTCGTCTACCAATATCATGGGATTTTTTGGCTTTTGTTTTAGTACACATTTTGAATCAACTAATTCTTGTGGCGAGTATCCCTTCAAATTTATACATGTATGCCTAGCAGAAATAACTGACCAAAACCCAACCTTTTATCTTTGGTGATAAAAAATGCAGTCAATGAGCTACATGATAGCACTAGTGACAACAGCCCCACTTAATACTGATGTAGACATGGAAGTCATATCAATGTTCAATGTACCTCCAGGATTATAAAAGGTCATATAATAAGCAGTAACCAGGAATCAAATTAATCTGCTAGATTGCTTTTTTGTACATTTTCACCACTGACACCTCTATTTGCAGACATATATGTTCTATATTTAAACAGAGTGACGCTGAATGCAGTTTACCTGTTGTCATTAGTCAGATATTTCTACATCAACCAAGGCAATGAACTTATATTTGTGGTTTTCATTTGGTTTCAGTTTTCAATCCAAAAGGAAAGTTGTTTAGAAACAGGCAGATTTTAACTTAATAGATGTTTATAGTGTACACTCCTCAGCCTGAAATTATTATCAGTGACACATTCAATATACTTACTGATATCTTGAAAAAATTATGTTATCTCTATGTAACTAGAAAATTTTTTTTTTTTTTTTAACAGGACTTTTTATACTGAGGTGTAGATGGACAATAATGGACGAGATTGTCATGTTAACACTGCAGCCATGGTCACTAATCTCTCAGATAGTTGTATCAGAACAATAGTTATCATTTCAAAACCATGACACTCATTCAGTTCACCCTTGAAATCTGTCAATTTCAGAAGTAAAATGACAAATTTGAAGAGTCAAAATATACATAAAAAAGACTTTGAAATAAATACTCAAAAATTCATTTTCAGGAGTCAAAGCTGTCAAGGGCCTACAGAATGTCATCTTATAAAATCTCTTAAGAAAAGTCTCACATATTCATGTTACACTATGTCATTTATCAAAACAAATAATTACACCGCTGGAGAACCAGTCCTGTCAGGAATATTAATTTATACATTTAAACATACTAGTGTGCATTACAAAATTGTATTTTTCACATGATCATTCGTGCTGTTTGTATTGTTAAAAGATGGAATCTGTAATAATTTCAATAGTTCAAACATGTTAATAAGAATGATACCACAACCATACAACCTGTACTTTACCAAATAGCAGTAGAAATATTACGTCATTTAGATATTTTGGAATTTTACATGTAGGTTAAATTTAATTGAATATTTGTGTGTGATTTTTTTTCCTGGTTATTTAAGTCTTAGTTTTCTGAGTTGTTCTTCATGTCTCTCCTTACCTTACAAGACTGTTCACTGTTGTCACATTGAAAGAGAGAGAGAGAGAGAGAGAGAGAGAGAGAGAGAGAGAGAGAGAGAGAGAGAGAGAGAGAGAGAGAGAGAGAGAGAGAGAGAGAGAGAGAGAGAGAGAGAGAGAGAGAGAGAGAGAGAGAGAGAGAGAGAAGAGAGAGATAGAGAGAGAGAGAGAGAGAGAGAGAGAGAGAGAGAGAGAGAGAGAGAGAGAAAGAGATAGAGAGAGAGAAAGAGAGAGAGAGAGAGAGAGAGAGAGAGAGAGAGAGAAAGAGAGAGAGAGAGAGAGAGAGAAAGAGAGAGAGAGAAAGAGAGAGATAGAGAGAGAGAAAAAGAGATATGGGTGGAAAAAGCTCTCAAGACGACTAAATCAGTTCAGATTATTTAATTATTCAAAGAAATATAACTTATAAACTCTAAGGAGATGTTTATGTGTTATTTTGTTGTCTGTATTATATACCTGGGTAACTACCTGATCTTGATGTTTTAGGTAAAGCAATTTGCCAATTCTACTCAGAAAACATATTTATAGGACGTACATAATTAGTTGTTCACGAACACACACAACTTTTAATGATGGTCGGTGGAAATTCAGCTCCTAAATAGAGACTATGTGCCATACAATACGGAATCACGTTCATACAATATGAGTACATGTGTATGCTGGATGGCTGTTTCAACCTTCCAAATTTCTTCAGTTTTGTCATAGACTTAAATTGTTGAAATTACTGACGGAGAGTTTGGAAAATCAAAACCGACACAATATGTTACTGTAAGAAAACATCACCATTCCTCCCTCTAGGAACACACTATATTACAATGTACCATACATTTCATACAGGGCCTAGGCATGAAACTTCAGTAACCGTCTCGACAAAGCCTCCTATGACTAGAACACTTCCACTAAATATCTAAGAGACATGCATTCAAAAACTTTTCAACTTAAAAAGATTTGTGTTACAGGAGTCATTTATTTCAATTCAATTATTTTCAGGGACTTCCAGCTTACTAGGTAACACTCAACTGATTGAGCTAATGAGAAATTCTCTTTAGTTCTCCAGGGTTACATTTTTATTATCTCACCTGGCCTAAGGGCCAAGTTATCTTACCCATGGTGCATTGTCAGTCATCGCAAAAATAAATGACCCTGACCTATTCATTATCAATGGGGTCAAACGAGTTTCTTCTTATGAACTTAAAGGCCTAGATTTATGATATTTGGCTGGTATATTCCTATAATAAAGCCCAACTTGTTTTGCGAAAATAATTAACCTTAACTAATATTCAAGGTCACAGGGGTCAAATTTGTGTAAACATTTAAACGACTTTTTATAAACTACAAAAGCCTAGAGGGGGCTGTTAACGTGGGACGAGCGACGGTTGGTGATCCGGGAAAAGAAAGCTGGAAGAACCGATCACAGTATAACAATGATGTTTATTTACAATGAAACAAATAAACTATATATTTAAAGATGTCACACTCGCTAACTCACACACTCATAAACCAAATAATGATAAGTGTCCCTGTAGCTTCTAGCTCACGAAACAGAACAGTGTTCCTGTCAAACCCAATAGAGTTCCATACTCTGAATCACCGTGACTCAATCCAGAGTCACCGTCCTCAAGCAGTTCCACGCTTGTATCACCATAATAGGCAACGCACTTATGTCAATGACATGACAGCTGATTAAGTGCTGAATTCAAGTCGCCGACCCTGGCAGTGTAACTTCTAAGTATGCTCCCTCGCTGACCTTGACCCTGAATGAAAGTCGTTACTTCTGGTCGGTCCTGACGCTTGGGTCGCAATGTAAAGGAGAGGCCTGCCTGGTCCTGACTCAATAAATGTTCCAACCCGTCATGTGAAGCTATAATGATTAACACAAATAGTTATAATTTCCACTCACACTTCCATACTATACTAACAAAACACATGGTACAAAATACTTATTATTTACCATAATTATTCAACTTTAGAATGAACCATAATTAGAAAATACTGAAATACGTTCATATTAGCGTCGAAATAATGTGCGGCTCCAAATTACGAACAAAATAAAACAAAATTACGAAATACACCAACTGACACCTCAAGGCTTCCATACTTTTCCCACTCGTTCACGTACGCACTACGCTCGGCACTAATAAATTGATCAGGGCTTCCATAGATTTTAAAATCGACCCGAAACATGACATAGACTATGCAGTTTCATGTACAACACTCCAATATGTTTATATCATGTGCATATTTAGGAAAACAAACATAATATATTCAATTATAGTACGAAAACAACAAAAATGAAAGTTATCAACATACAAACAATAAACAATGGTCACGGCTGACTGGAGCGCACAGATACTTAGATTGTTTGACCCGATATATGGGCTGGTACAAAACAACAATACCAACTAATATAGAAAAGAAAAAGAGATAAAGATTACTTACCACAGTGAGTCCCCTGTGCCTGTCTCACATGACGCTAAATGCCGATAAATCCATATCGGGTGCACGGTAACAATAACACAATACCTGTCATGCGAATCTCACCCCGTGCACACCTACCCGTGACGCAATTCTGCCTAGCGGTACCCTACCATTAAGGTGACTTACCCCAAGTGTATACAAAATATACATGCTTACGTGACAGGGGCGTGATATTTGGCTGGTATGTTCCTAAGATGAATCCCGACAAAGTTTGGAAAAATAAATGATCCTGACTTATGTTCATAATGACTTCTTCTCATGTGCTAAAAGGCTTAGATGCATTATATTTGGGTAGTATATACATACCAGAGGAGCCCTGCAGGCCCATTGGACCTCTTGTTAAATTATGTCGTTTTTTATGTACTAGTTAGTTCATTATTTTGTCTGAGACATGAAGTCGTACAATACAAACGCCTCTATCCTTACCGATTCGCTCCGTGACACTTACTGGACAACAACAAACATTCCCCGGCGGTTTGTATTTTTGATGTTCCTGTACCAGAACTGTCGTGAACGTTAATTGCCATGGATGTTAAGCTGATAACGAAATGTTATCCCGAAATAATTTTGGAGATTTGAATTATGAAAAAAGTAAAAGGTTTGCAGCTTCTGATTATACGTGTATAAAGTCACAGTGTCAATGATTTTGTTTTCTCAATTATTTTTTTCATCTCAGTTGTCAACATGAAGTTGTCTCCCTTTTAATCGCTTGCTTGTTATCATTGGCAATTTCATGTAATTTATTCTGACAAAAGATACATCCGTTTAATCGGCCACAAGTACAATGTACACCTTCAGTCTGGGGCTACAATATGAATGAATGAGTGACAGGCCCAGTTAGGGGACGAGAAATGTTCAGCGACAAGACCAGCATGGTTAGCAATGCAGCTTTCAGTGACAACCTTTTTATTTGATTAAAAACCGACAAAATATAACTGCATTCGCTAGAAGTTTGATTGTTCATTATAAAATGTCATTGCATAATTTGGTCGGTGTAAGTACAAGGACAAGAGAGATAATGTAAGCGATTTGTCACAAGGAGACTGACTGATGTATTTTTAATGCGTTCAATACAATAAATGCTGTCCCGTAGATGTAAACAGTTTTAAGGAAGTAAATACGAGATTGTACTACTAGACCAGTTATTACCAATGTGAACGACTTTTAACATATATATACCCACATTTATGTTGGGAATCTTTATATAAGCAATACCACACAACGTACGGTTGCTGTTTAAGGTAACTTGCCGCTCCGAAACTCTTAAGTTGATATTGAAAGATAAAAAAAAAATGGAAGTCATGCGTATGCTTTTTGTGACATACATGATACTTGTCAGCTATTCAATGTCACAACCACTGACGGCCAGGGAGAATTCATTGTTTGGACTCTGTTCTAGTGTTGAACATAATTTACTACATATTCAGCGGATCGAAAACGCCGCATTAAAGAAACGATTAACGAGATATGATGGACAGTTACAAACATTGAAACAACAAGTGGAACATATGAACGAAAAGCTTCAATATCTCAATAATAAGTATGACAGACTAGAATATTTGCTTATGGAAACCGGAATGCCGACATCGACAGGAATTTCTGCCGACCAGTTCGTGGACCAGGACAGTAAGTATTAGGAGATTCAAATACATGTATAGATTTGTAAATTCATAAAACTTCCTCATGCGGTTTAATTATCACAATCCATCCACATACATTTTCCTTTTGCATTTTCTTGTTTTGAAAGAAATTCGCAGATTAAATATGAGGATTTTTACTGTAAGACATAAAGAAAATACAGAGTTGTTGCAGTTTGTTTCAACTCACATACACTCCAAATCTCTACTCACGACAAAAAGGTTTGATAATTAGCAAGATTCATCAGTGTCTAGCTGTACATGTATTCATTTATACAGATTACAGTAATGATAAATGTCTGCAGTATGTTAAGCCATAGTCGATTTGATATGGCAGACTGGAGTGCCTTGTTGGTGCCTTCTGTAGTATAATTCAGTGTGATGACACTATAATTTCTACACCAGTTTCACACTATCAAAAGGATGTTTACACGACAGTGCTATATTCTTAACAAAAACGTACTCAAAACATTCACTCACCTCGCATACACCAAGAAGCTGTCCTTCATTAACAAAAGTTGTTGATAAAACAATAGGCAATATACAACCGAACCTTCAGTGTAGATCTTTGGTGTAAAGACAGTTTAAAACGCTTCCTATTGAAATACTTATTTCAATGTGATTTCAGCTGAGATAACAAATCTAACTATCAATTATCTGTCAAAAAAAAAAAATTCCAGATGTTGAAATCACAAAATTCGGCAACACCAACAACGTTTCTGTGATCGAGTAATTTCTAAATGACATTGATTGAAATAACAAAATACTTTCCAATGATGGTTATTGAGACCTGGTCTTTAGAAACACCTGGTCTTATTTTCCTTGTATAATGTCTAGATTCTGATTGCGAATTATATTGTACCTGGGTTTTCTGGATTTTGAGCTGAAGAAAGATTAAATTTTACGTGTTGATAATTTCTTGTTATTCCTAACATGGCGGGTTGGGACACATAGCTGAAAAGAACCCAAAATTACTAACCTAGAGTTAAATAAGTTCCGTCATATTAACTGCAGTCAGTAATAGGACCATTTAGACGACAACCATACGCCGTTTCTGTTTATTGTTTTCTGCCACACCTAAGCATACAAGGACAAAATGTTGGATATTCATCACTGAATATTTCATATATATGTAACCCTGGTAAAATACTAGTCGCAATATACCACTCGGCTAGAGAGGACTTCTCATTAGCTCTATTGGTTGAGCGTCAGACTAGTACGCCAGGTCTCTCGGGTTCGATTCCTAGCGGAGGCATTGAAATAAATACTTACCTCTGTTACATATATAGATATATATATATATATTACGATAAACATGTACCTTGTTATCTATACTAGCCATTTCTTTACATATATGTATGCCTATTAGAGCGAAGGGAAGTTAAAGTCTACCTTGTATTTTGCTTGCTAAGACGCAAGGTATAATAGGGGAAAATGCGCATGGCACGAAGGAAAAATATTTACAATGTTTTCTGTCTGTTGCAGATCAACATATCGCCTTCTACGCTGCTGTAAGCGTTGACACAGAAACAAATCCAGTTGTTTTTGATAAAGTGTACCTAAACGACGGTGATTGCTATGACAACACAACTGGCATTTTCAAGTGTAGTGTTAGTGGCGTGTATCATATCACGTGGTCTGTGGAGACATTCGGAGAAGTGGACGTCGGCACTATATTGGAAGTTAACGGAGAAGAATTCGGATATACTTGGACGGATTCGGAGGATCAGCAGTATGACACAAGTACTGGGATAGCCATATTGAGACTTCAGGCAGGTGACATCGTTAAAGTTACACTACAATCGGGATCAAAGATCGATGCTCGCCAGTCAACATTCACAGGTCATATTCTCTTTCCATGAATGACCGGTCTATGAAAACTGTCCTTTAGCAAATGTTGGCCTAACATGAGTTATCTGTAGCTTGACTAATTTCTCAGGTAGATTTATATTTATTTATGATCGATAACTGCGTTGTTTGTTGGTGTTAGAACGAAGCTTATATGCAAATGTCAGTTGTATTTTTAGTCCCTATGAAAAATCACAATTTTCCCGTGACTTATATAACTCACTGACGAGTCCTAGAAGGACGAAACAGTTGTATGATGCAGTTTGATTAATTGTGTGGCTCTATTGAATCTAACTATACATTTTTCAAAGTTGCCAATCACTTATGTCATTGGTGCACTCTTTGAGTTCGGAAAAATGAACATCGATTTAAAACAACGTTGAGATAATGTAGCAACAAATGTGATAAGACATGTAAGATTTTGATGTTTGAGAAATTTGGGAGAAACCAGGATCATTTTGAGGTAGGATTTTATTGTATAATCTGGTGACTACCTAACTGAATAGAGTACACGTGCAGGAAGCCTGTTGCATGCCATTCAGAACAACCGGAGTGAAACACTTACCAACGACTCAATCAGCAGGACATAGGACGCTTCCCCGGAAACACAAACCGTCCTCAGTAGGGACAGGAATTAAGTGCGAGCAAACGAAAATTCCAACAAATATTTCAATGGAATGGTATGATTCATTCATTTTAGTACATAATACGTGCATTTTTGGTTATGATTTTACAAAACCGGCTGGTGATTTCGGGATAATTAGATGTGGGATGTCTTTGTTGTACTACTTTATCGAACAATATACGAGAGGCCCGTCCCATACATACAGAACATAAACGACAGGTAACGTAGGCCGACCCTCACACCGTCTGAGCTCTGAGCTATTCCCCCACCACCCACTCTCCAAAAAACCAAGTTTTATTATCATTACATACTGACATACAATATTTAAACAATACAATACAATCAGGTATACGTGTAGTCTTTTGTATTATCTTCTCGATGCCTTTGTTGTTACTTTTGAAGAAATGCGGCAAGATTAGCAATATCCGGAACAACTAGCAAGCCTATCGTTGTGGTCAGGAAGATAATAGCCAGACACCCCATGAAAACACTGCTGGGTCGAGAATCATAGACGCTGACGAATTTACGTCTCCGAGAAGAGAGATATCCTTTGTTTATAGCAGTCTGAAGCCTCAGTTCGTGTAAACGGTTGCGCAGTTCGTCTGGATTGATTTGCTTGCTCTTGTTTTTCTTCTCGCAACAATTGTCACAAACATCGGACGTTTTTGTATTTCGTGTGACGTACGAAGTTGTATTCGTCGTTGATGGTATATCAGTCGAAAAGCCAGGTGTCTGCCAATGTATCTCGTTACTTGAGTTAACATGGCCTGTAGCATATTGTAAAAATAGAATATATGAAACAACTGCGAATATTTTTAATCATTATTTATATAAAAATTGCTCGTGATCTGATTTTTCCTCTGAACCAAGTATTATATGGCGATGTAGAATCATTACTTGTAATGTATGGTTCATTTGTAAAGTGTTTTGATATATCAGATGTAATAATCTGATACATTGTTTCCAGAAAGCCTCGTTTAGCAATAAAGTGACAAATATCTTCAAAAAATGTATCACTTTATACTTTAACCTTCAACAAAGACATTATTACATTGCAGACGCCCTCAGCGTATCACTACGTCCAAAACTTACAGAGAGATGAAATATTAATGGTAATTGAAAACCTGTGGAAAGGTTTAACATTGATCTTGTGCACAGTTCCATGGAATAAATTTTATGCAAATAAAATGTGTTAAATCTAGAACTGGAAGCCGAAGCAATCACAGCCACGTTTTATTTCATATGAATAATGGCCCGATTCAGATTATACACATGTATTTGGCACTGCTCTTTGTCTGATAAATGAAATTTACAAATTATACTTAATCACGGGGCTGCTACACCTTCCCGTCTAGATTGTGACTTTTCTTTCGATCACTTTTGATTTGCGTTAGTCGCCTCCTTGGCTTTAAAATTGAGACCCCTTAGCAGCACTAACGAGTCCTAGAAGGACGAAGCAGCTGCATAATGCTGTTTGATTCATTTTTTGGCTCTACTGTATCTAACTCCAAATTATTAAAATGTGCTAGTTACTTGTGTGTCCTTTTTCCAACCTTTGATGGGATCGATACATTGTTTAATCAACATGAGAAAAATATTAACCGAGGCTTTTATAAGAATTGATAGTTTCTAGACGCATTATGATCCAAAAAAGTTCCTTTTAGACCGAGAAACAAACGTGCAAATAAGGGCTGAGCATGAAAGGATATCAGATAAAACATAATTGGTACACTGATTAATGTAGTAAGATAATTACCTGTATAACATACAACTGTATCGTTGTTACAGACAGTTAACGACCTGTTACAAAAAACTGATAAACAAGAAGTGGATGTTATGGATAAATTGTAGGTGTTCCCTGGACAAATGTCCACTACATCTATCACCGACCTGAAAAAAACAAAACAGAAACGAGTCAAGGAATTAATGTTTAGAGAGGACATTAGACATAACACTTTCTCTCACGTGCACACGTGACAGGAGTAAGCTTTGATGAATAATTTATGTATAGAGCAATAAGAAAAAGAGTCTTCTTTTACATAGGCACGTGATACAGAAGTAGACATGTGATCAAGACGTAGGCACGTGACACAGAAGTAGGCACGTGATACAGAAGCGAGATAATATTTGTGTTCGTATGTAATAACTGATATAAACTTTATTTCATCAATAATTACATACATATCCATATAACATAGCATTTAGAATCACATTTGAATCGGATTCAGATTGATGTTATGTAACTTATATGAACATGGACATGTTCATAACACATTGAATTGTTGAGCAACATCAAACGGCAAAATAAACAAATAAAATGCTTTCTGTATTTGTGAAAAAACAGGAAGTAGAAAGAAAAGAAAAATGAAATGAAAAGGATAGGAGGGAAAAGTAGCCATGACATAATCTGAACGGGAAATAACGTGTTATAAAACGGGTGTCCCGGGCAAAAACGATCATAAAAATCATACAAATTATACAGATTACAAAGTACTGAACAGAGGGAAAAATCAAGGAGGTTTTACTGAATCAATCTTGTATGATTATACTGTAACGGATGCGTACTGTCAGTTCGTTACCAAGTTCTATCTTGGACCCAGTAACTGTTTAACAAATAGTAAAATGCCCACCATATATATACAAAATACTGGCCTGTCTACCTGTCTCAGATAATGATATAAACTGTACGAATTCAATAACTATACTCTAAACTACACCCGGTAGATAACTAACATTTATTTCACCTTAACACTGACATGTATAGAGTCTCAATACCAACTAAAACACTATATCACATATATACCCGCCACCCTGTGTCGGTAGTAAATAATTAACCTTTTACCACAACACCCGTGACTGTACAAACTTGACCGTGACACACTTTGACCACGTCAGCCTTCACCGCCACACACGTGCATTGACTGCGTCACCTTTTGCCTCAACCACTTGGACCAAGTCAGCTATACGTTGTGTCTCGGCAAAACCTGTGCCTCGGTACCCTGTCACTGTACCTGATCAACTACACATTACCCTGTACTGTGATCTCCCGTGACTTTGTACATTTGTATAAAACGTGTAAGAATTATTGGTTCCGATTTTAAAGGATTACAGTGGAGCCCTAACTTATTCAGCTAGGCCCAAACTTATTTTCAGCTAGAGATCCTTTACGTCTGTCAGCATCAGAGAGAGAGAGAGAGAGCTTTTCGTCTGGTGGAACCTCTATTTATACGACTACCCATCTAATGAAATGCCTTCTTTCAAACAACCAATCAAAAGTGCTCTTTCTTTTACAAACTACAGAAATAACTACTACAAGTCTACACTGCTAATCCTTTATTGTATAATGTTGTAAATCACATGGAATCAATCGTTTCAATACAAATCATTATTTCCGTATTCAAGAATAGGCCTACTTAGAGTAAAGGAAAAATGAACTTAAACCTACGTGAAATATTTAACTTTGGTGAGATATTAGTTTCAATATACTGAATATGCTTTGTTAAGCCACCATTATTAGATAAAAACAGACCAAGCTGCTTATGTAAAATAACTTCAGTAAATAAAGTGTTGTTCATGACATATGAGGGGAGTTTAAAATATTCTAGATATAGGTAAGGTCTCAAAATTTTTGAACATTTTCTTCAGGTAGGTAATGTCAATAGAATAGAAAATTTATAACACAACGAATAGAAGATCTGCTACTCGTTGTTATAAGAACTTTTGTTCTAGTGAGGTCTCAAATTTTGCGGAATTCTACCAACCAATTTGCAAACCATTTAAATAAATTCTATTTAGATATTTTTTTAAAAGTTCTTCACTTATGAAATGCGTGTCATCACGGCCATACTATTCAACCAATAAGAACATTTACCACGAACACCTTTTCTGCGACATGAAAGATATTTTTCGAACCATTCTATAAGAAAGCCTCGACTTCCGAATGAAGAGAGCTTTGTCAGTCACTTATGTCAATCGCGATCAAACGTTTATCAACATCGCGAAAATATTTGTATTTTCCTGCCGTCGTCTAAGGCACAGTATAATAAATGGTAGTGGGGTATTGATTGCTTGATAGGTGAATCCCCGCGTCTAAATCCACTTAGCTTACTCTTTACTAAATCTGTTATCTGAAGTCTTTCCAACAGAATTGAAATTGAAGACCTCTAATGTAACTCCTGTGTATAAAAAACCCACAGGTCTCTCCTAACTATGTACATGTCAATCTCCTTATTATCTATTGTTGGGAAACTAATGGTATGATATGTTTTCACGTATGTTTATAATTTCTTGCATGCTTACTCCCTTCTCTCCCCCAAGTAATAATGATCACGTGCTATGTAATAGCTATCGTATGGGTACTTGATCACAAGGTTAAGAGACTAGGGCTTGTAGTAGTCGCACCCAATAGTTATTATGTGGACACGAGATATAATGAAATAAACTATGAGCGCGTCGTAGGGAAATCTGCGAGTCCTATGCATCTTTTGTACTGCTTATCTTGAATAGAACAAATAAAGAAACATGTCCTTATTTCCCCTTTCATTTCCAGACTTTCAGATAATTGCCGATATTCATTTAGAGATAATCCCAATATTTCACTTTCCCCTCTCCTACAGGGGTATTTTGAAATGGATTTATCTATTGTAACGTTATTAAGTTCGTTAGATGTCAAAATGTATACCTGTATATATGATGAATCGATTGTCCTCCATTTGACGTTATATTTATCCATGTCTCCTGATCTTGAATATAACTGTAACTACCATTCTTCTTAATGCAGTCTTCTTTAGCTCCAAACCAATGCCTATTGCTGTCCCAGTAAACGTCATATTTCGCCCAAATGAATGCATCTGAAAAGTGAAACGAGAAACAGATTTCATCAATGCATGAATGATCATATCTCTACTCGAGATGTTAATGAATTTGAAAAAATCAAACTGTTTCAACATCATTTACATGTTTCTCCTGATCACGATTGCGATTGAAACTTAAGTAAGAAAAAAATGCTATGTTACTAAAATGTGCAATAAAATATATGTTAACCAAAATTATATCACAGTTTTTAGTACAGGAATTTCAAGGAAAGACTAACATCGACAATGTGTCCTGAACTCTTTGCCACGTTGTCAAGGCGACCGACCCCTTTCATCAAGACATCACTATAATTTGAACAAAAGATAAATACATCATTGATTTCATAGATAATAAGGAAAATCGACAACCGTGAGTCTATTTGATGCTCAAAACATGCATGAATTCATTCACATGGTTGCAGCTGTTAAAGATGAATAGTATACACCATAAGTATTTTTACTTACAAAAAAAAACCATGTTTTACATACAAATTATATGTTATGTATGAATAATCAAACATAAACTGGTAACTAACAAATATCTTTGTTCTTGCATTGATCATTTGTAAACCTGCTGATTTTATACATATTTTAAAATTTGTTTTCAACAAATTATAGCACAATTAAACATTAATTACTTACCTGGATGTATGAGAATGAAAACCAACGCTGCTATGAGAACATTCATCAGTGACTTCGAATAGGAATAATAATGGAGAGCAAGTAGGGAGGAACATCGGAGATATATACCCTACATAGATATAGTTGGTATCTTACATGTTTGGTTAACAAACAAAAAATGAAAACTACACTGTATAAATGAAATTTAATATAAGGAAATACGTAATCTATATGTAAACGTAATTATGTTCTCGGACACCTGTTAAATAGATATAAGCCATATTATCGATGTTTCCAAGTATTTCAACCTATAGTAAATTAACATATGGCTAGAATTAATTAATTTCGTGCTACTTAAAACTAAATCGTCCTTATAAGACTTTATAGAGTAAAATATATACAGCCATAATTGACTAAGTTAGAAGATAGAGCCATGCAGTACGGTTTGGTTTTACCTGTATTAAAACCAATCAATAACACCAGGAAGTACTATTGCTTGTTACTGGGCACGCTATCACCCTAATGTTGACCAAGGGATCACAGTAAACCGTGTCTACAAAAATATATTGAATTCAGATCAATCTAACAGCTCGAGATTTTACCACAAATTTAACACCGCTTGTATCAAGGACGTGACAAAAAGTCCACCAGTAGTGTCTACTACCTGCATCTCGAATACTACACATCAAATATACAAGTAAATAATACATTTCCATACGACTTTATAATTACATACTTTAGATCCAAACAAAATGAAGCTGCATTTGTTTCGTCCTTCCTGGTAAAATACCAATATATAAGTAACGCGAGTGAAATGTTTAAACACTGTCAGATATCCTGTTTATTACATTTACAAAAAATGTATCAGGTTTTTGACTGGTTAATTTCACATAGAAGAATGTGTTATCTGCTTTCATTGGTGGATTTAAAAAAATATACTTTCTCCATAGATAACATAATAAAATTGTTATTTTTCTTGATGCAGTTTCATTCAGTGTTTGGCTCTACTGTTTGTTATTCTAAATTAAGAAAATGTGTTATTCACTTGTGTGTCTTTTGTACAAACGTTCTCTCTTCCGGAAGACATTGTCTTATTCGTCTTGTTCTTTTTCAGGAATCCCTCTATAAATATTTTTTTTGTTTCATATTTCAACAAAATTTTAATAATTTGAGGTTGGGATATGATTTTGTCACTTATATGTCGGTATTTTTCCTTTGTTGATGTTGTCTTTTCATTCACGTCTCAAAATTGACTGGATGTATTACAATATGGTATATATCCACATCGCTACATAGTTTTCAGCCCATCAATCCTTCACTCGTATTCAACTCGATACATTCATGTATAAATCTTTGACATGGGAAGGGGCGTATGTTGTTCGCCCAGTTGTACTTTTGTTATCAGTTCATTACATATTTCTCATTGGAAGATTGTTTGATTTCAGCGCAACATTTACCTCAACTATTCTCAATTCGATCTCTCTACGAGCAGATCAGGTAAACAGCAGAATATATTCTTTTATTGATGGATTTTATGGTATGTCGTAAATCAACATATAAGTGATGTAAAACATAGAACAATGGTCAAATAATTAAAATCAGACATTAAATCACCACAATAGGATGTTGTAGAGTCGGTACTAGGGCAAGTTATAGACGGCAACTTACGCATAGCTGTTTATTGTACAGTATCCTTTCAGACCTCAACTACAGAGATAAGATAATTATTTATATATTTATATATCCCAGTGGTAACACGGTGGCGGACATGTGTTATCATTTGACCTTTCTTGTCAAGAACACGTAATGACATGTTTTGGCCAATCAATGAAAAAAGGAAGTAAATACGTCTGTTTCTTAGGCCATGGTCGTTATCTCCGTTATAACCTAGAAACAAACTGTCCATGAGGATCGATGTGTTGAATTCACTCCAACCCAAGGCACAAATCATTTGCTTACGAACAAAATCTTCATAAGCGGTGGTATACATAACAAACCAGATGATGTGATATTCAAAGCTGACGAAATTTACATCGTTAGACTATCTTAACATAAAATATGGAAAAAAGGAAACAATCCAAGGCCATGATTTCTTTATTATGCCTTTGGTCATTCTTGATTGCGGGAACTGATGCATTTAAGCCGACCCTTGGTCAGGGAGATGACCCGTCTACGTTTACACACGAGTCAATTACAGCGAAGGGTGTGGACAAAGCAGCTGTGGACTTCTTAACATCTTCTGGACAGCTCAACACTTCGATGACAAATCTCGGTGCTAGTGATATTGTCAAAGATCTTTTCTTTGGATCTGGTAAGTGAAATGCTATTATTCGTTGATAATTGAATAAATTTATTTGCTCCCGTTTTTCCTGGATATTGTATATATCATACACAAGTGACTATCACCTTTCAATGCAAAAGAATAAAATATTCTGTACAAAAAATAATGAAAAAAACTGCATTATACACCTGTTAAGTCCGTCTACGATTTGTCGGTGATGTTAAAGACTGATAGTTTTAAATATAGGAGGCGAAAGAGGGAAGAAAAAATATCAAATTAAATGTCAAAATCTAGTGATAAAGTGCACTAGTAATATGATTATATAAATTTCGTAAATTGAATACATCCGAAAATTTTAAGTACATGTAAATAATCCGAATCTTATCAGTAATTAATTGAAATAAATGTGTAATATAGATTACGGTTAACCTCGGAGATTTATGCTTAACATACGGGAAACGTAGTTTAGGCCAGTTATATGGACCACTTGTTGATGAAAACCTGATAAATGAGTAGGTTAGTTAGATTTGCAACGTTTTACTTCAACAGTATTGGTAACCATAGTTGCATGTTATATTTTATGGAAAGTGTGTAAAGACTATTATGACACATCAAACAAAACATTGCAAAGTATCTATTTCTATAATTTAATAATCATATATGTAGAACAATGGTGATAACGTATTTGTAATATTTGAAAATCAATCTATGGAATCTGTATGTCTTTTCAAACATGAAAATGTTGGATGTGCCGGTATTGATATATCTTCCTTTTGTTATAGAGCTTTCCATATTAAATACATAAAATTAAATGTGCCCAAGATATGATCTCATTTTTTCTTACATGATAGTAAAGCAAAACAAAGCAAAGTCGGGACTTATTTTTATTGAATCGATGCCAATAAGTTATCGGGTTAATATTTGAAATTTCTAAAATTTATTGTTAGGAGACCGCCGTCAAGATGGGTATGTCTTTCGTTTTAAAGTGTTATCGAAAAATTGACCTGGTTTTCAGTGAACCTATAATATTATCACATATGAATGAATTGTTTAATGATGTGACGTAAGGACACTAAAACGAAATAACGTTTCACATGCTTAGATCGAATTTTTACGTCAGCATATATAAGTTCCATATAAGGCCAAGATAACTGACATAACATTTCTTATTTGTTCCACATAAATTTATCAATTATTCAAAGAAATTATTTTTTCCTTAATTCTAACTCATTTCAGTGAAATTCGTCTCAAATGTTTCGAGTAATCTCCACAGAACGATCTTCGAAGGCACATTACATATATAGAATTGAAAATCTAGTTTAAATCTTAAATTTACTGATATAATAATTATTTCATGTATCAGATACGCATGGCTACCAGATATACCTGGATAGACGCCAGAAGTTCGCAGACGCCGTAGTGAAGGTGTACCGATTGTACCGCAATAACCCAGATTACACTGTAAACTCTGAACGAATACGCGAAGGTTAGTGTAAACTGATTGATGCAAAAAGTGTATTTTCAATGTGTTTGTCAACGTAATCATCACAATTTCATCGATAGAAGAATTACGTATTAAGAAATTAAATTTAAGAAATATTGACGTTTTGATGAGCGTTAATTTGCCAGGTTCAAAAACATAGGAAAGAGTTCCAACAATAATAAATTTCATGTAGAAAAAACGTAGCAAATGTAGTGTTTGTCCAGAACATACCTTTTACCTTTACAATTTATGTATTTGGCAGTTCAAAATCCAGTTTTATAATCTGTCGTTGAGGTCATTTATATGTACCTATGGTGTTCCTCTGACCAATCATTTATTCAAGATATACATATTTATCAAGTAACTCGCATATGTTCTACCTGTTTGGCAAACTATTTTTCCATGCTTGAGAGTTCACGATGTTTTAACTAACTAGCTGACAGTCTCGTGAAAACGACAAGATTAGAGATTGCTTCCATCCTGTCAAATGGAACATTAGCCAATGGATCGATAGACCTTTTGATAGATAAAGTGGGGAAGTGTTTGATGATCATACAGTCCTTCTACAGCAACACAAATTGGATAGAGATGATGGTGAATGGTGGAGAGTCCTTTCTGAAATTTGGTAAGATATTCAACCAGATATTATTTTTTTAAAATGGATATTTTGTTCCACGTGCATATCTTTCCAAAAACGAAGGTCTTTACATGTCGTGAGTTATTACATTTATGCATAATTAAGTGGTCAATGTGGATTGCCTTGTCATAATTGGCTCCAAGTCTATGTTATTATTAATGTTAAATTAAGTTTATCGGTAATAAGAAAATAATCAAATAAGGTCTACAATGTACTTGCATGACCCGGAACGAAAATGGCAGCTTGCACAGTAGTATTTTTGAATGTTTGATGTTTACTTAATAAAAATTTTAAATTTTAAACAGAAATGGTAAATTAGTTTATTAAGAATATGCAATCACATAATTTGTGATATATTTGTTTAATGGAGATGACGAGACTTGTTTTGTTTTTTTTTTTCGTCGTAACAAACTGATATTTATTATGTCAAGTGTCATTGAAAATATAACTTTAACATTGCATTTCGTTCAATGTCAGAACCTGAATACATAAGCATGGCATTCCAATCGGTCACAATATACTGAAAATGGGATAATCCGACATATCCGCTTAAATAACAGCAAGGACCAGGCATATGGACTTCGTCCTGTCTAGGCCATGACGCAGAATGTTTAACATTAGTAACAATTATTATTATTAGTATTATTACAATTTTAACGACCGTCGACACATAAAAGGTCAATAGGACAAACAACCGGTAAAACACACCCCGATCCAAAAAGGAAAAAAAAACATTTAACAACCTAAAAGGTAAAAGATAAATGCTAAAAATCATAAATGGTTATATTATCACAAAATATTAAAATGGTATGTCATAGTCATTAATACAGGCCAAAATCTTTCAGATAACCTAGAATTGTATCAATCACAACAGATTCGAAAATGATTTATAGACTTGTAACGTTACGATAAAAAATTCTCGAGTAGACAGAAGGTTAATGCAGTCCATTAAAAAGTGCTTAACTGTGAATGGTTTATCACATCATATGCACCGAGGATTATCTTAGCCTTTCAACATATATGAAAGCGTAAAGTATGTTTGGCCCAACCGAAGACAGGCAAGGACACCTTCGTCTCGGTGGTTGTCTATAGCCTGGAGACCATTCACCGATGATAGGATTTCTGGAGTGCATTTTATTATTGGTATATGTATTCCATTCCTCCTGCCACTGACCTTTTACAATTTGTTTAATAAATGGTTTTATATCGGTAAAATGAAGTTGAAAAACAACATGTCGTAGCAATAAAGCTTCCTTTGCGACACGATCTGCTTTTTCGTTGCCTGGTATTCTCATATGCCCAGGAACCCAGCAAAATGCAATACGAAAGCTAAAGGCAAGTTTTTTGATATAGTATTAATGTATAACATTAGCAAAAAGCAAAAAAGGTTTTCCAATTATTCAGAAATAATAAATCATATTATTTTATAAGTTTATTCGTATTCCTTAATATTTTGACTATTAACAATAACTTTTCATTTTCACAGGAACCCTCGCTCCTCTCACTATGAATGTTGCAGCGTCTGGAACTGTTACCTGCCAGAACTGTGATTATAGCGTCCCTAAGTAAGATTTGTTCATATCTTAGATTGCCAAAAAGCTTTTGTGAAATCTGCTGGCATTGCACTGAGAACCATGATCATTTTGCGCTTTTACTGTCACGATTTTTTTACTTTAAGTGATTCACAAGAGTTCTTATCGTTTGAAAATATTCAATCGTCTTGAAGTGCTTTCACCGATAAATTCCATTCCCATAAGCAAATGTTTGGTTAACACAAAAATCCAGTAACCGTATAGACGGTTATGTTCGCCGGGATGATATTTTGTTGTTGTTTAATTTTTTTGTAGTTCATTAACGGGAAAATATAATCCGTGAAATATTGACTCATTTGTGTATGAAATGTTCTTAAACATCCAAATCAATAGCTAGATTTCAAGATCAATTCCTTCTCTATAAATTTATCTGAATTGTATTAAAAATCCATCTTTCTCGCCATATAAGACAACACCTTTCCTAGGCTTACATTAGCCTTCTGTACATCGCTCTACTCATAACAGGGTGAAAAATAAGAGCTGAGCTTTTTTAGGCCTACATTAATAGTGAATGAGAATGAAAAGCTTATTACGAGGGCTTGTGAATCCCTGCTAATATATTTAAACCATTTCCTTTCATTTGATCGTTTAGTGCATGCAAGAATAACCTTCTTGTCCACGATCGTTTGACCAGTGGATACCTATCTGGTCAGCTGTACTACCCGAAACCTAATGGTGAGTGAAATGTTCTATAACAATGTGACAGTGTGATAATATATAAGTTGGAATAAAACGGCACATGCTTTCAAGTTGCTTGACGTCAAGTTTCACTATATTATAAAGATACAGCAATTGAAAACTGATATTATACTTTATATTCATAATGTTATCAATTAGCGCACATTCATTTGTTTTATTTTATTCCGAGAAGAATTATACATTCACTCAATGTCGCATTGTATCACATATCTAACAACAAGATCAACACTTTATATACGGTGACAAGCTGATCCACGTGCTACTGAGGGTAAATGCAGTCATGGTGGTGTGAATGACTTCGGTAGGGATACTGCAGCCATTGGGGGAATAAACAAAGAGACACCGGATTGGAATTGGTCTCCACATGCTCATCTACACAACATTTCAGGAGAAACAGCCATTGAAGCAACGGAAGCATTCTTCATGGACGCAAGTATGGCCCAATATCTACATATATTAAATGGCTTCCAAATATAAACATCAGACGTTATATGTAAATGAATAAGTTTATTATTTAATTTAATGGAACGGAAACTTTTACGTGTGCTTTCTCTCAAACATTGATGCCAGTTTGATATTACCGCTCTGTCAATGTACATGATTTATCATTACAGTCACATCGGATTTTTAGTCGAATAATGCAGGAAGTAAATACAAAGTAACTAACACTGATTAAAAATTCAAACTCGTTCGGATCAATGCCAAACAGTAAAACGAGGGCATCTGTCTTGAAGGCAATATAAATGTGATAAAACATTGAAGTTGTATGGTATTCCTTTCAGAGTCGTATAGTTTGCTCATATAACTTCCATCAAATTTACCTATATTTTACCGTAATGTATGTAGAAATACATTTCATCCACAACCCCCTTCTCCCCAATGACAAAAACCAGTTACATGCTAATCCCTATTATATACATGAATAATGCATTGTGATAGATACAGATACTATAACTTAGAAGACCATGACATGTTACTAACTTATGAGTAGAAAATCGTACAAAGGATTGTATATTATGATACACTATACTGCTTATCTTATAAGATCACAACATGTACTCAATACAGTGCTTTGATGATAGCATTGTTGTTGGAGGTTTGTTTTTTAACATCCTATCAACATCCATGACCATTTATGGACGACTTCCCACTGTATGCGAAGTCAATGTATGTGTTGCGCGCGCTTGTTTGTATGACGGAGTTTGTGAAAATGTCAAGATTTAGGGACGGACAAAGCGTGGTTGCGTCTATGAAGAACTGGCTTCATGTTAAGATATGATTTGAAATTATTTTTTGTCTTCTACTACTGCGCTTTTCATAACGATGAATGTTGAATGTGTAACATATGCCTACAATATACATTCTTGTCATGAAGATATACGTTTTAATTGCAAGCGACTGGATTACTGAGGGGTATTGAAAACCAGACCATTGAATATATATTTCAACTGAAGAAGGCAAAGCAGAATGTTTCAATGGGTTTCGTCGTTGATGTCACTGGATCAATGTCAGATGACATCAGCAGTGTGAAGAAGTCGTTAATTAAAACAGTCTCTGCAGTGATTGGGACCGAAAATGAACCTCAAAACTATGTCTTAGCGACGTTCAATGACCCTGGTAAGTGTCATTTAATCAAGTGACCATAACAGTTAAGCATTTAGCACATACATACATTTTTATATATTTGATATCGTATCAATTTTTAATATGAAGAATCATGACTGAATCAAGTGTGGATTTATCAGTTTTTATCCAAAATAAATAATGAAAATCGACCACACTTTTCCAAATATGTTGGTCTCCTGACATCATACATATAAATCTTTGAAAACGAAATGAATATAGGTGTAGTCTTTTTTATGTTATTACCATGGATACATAACATTTACGTGTTGACAGGACAGCACGTTTTATATACTACTATTTGTACCTTTTTCTCTGGTATCTTCTGAAATTATCAGTTGGTCGTAGTGGCTTTTAGGCTTCTTATTTTTATGGTCCGCTGACAGTTAAATCATTAAGGGTAAAAACACAGGAAATATGAATATCAATACAAACAATGAGAGAGAAAAGGAAATGTTGCAGACATCAAATATGATGTCGGCGGATTCTTGGATCTATATCGGCATTCGAATGAAGTTTTTGAAGTCATTCAACCAAAAATTACAATAACCTTATAAAACATTTATCACATTTCAACGTTCCCCTGCACGCATTCTCAAATTATTTTCATTAGCAAACCTCACCACAGTCAACACGACAACTGACGGAAATGAGATGATACAGTGGATAGACGCACTGAGAGTGTATGGAGGAGGTGACTGTCCAGAATATGCCATGTCTGGAATACAAGCTGGTATGTTTAACGACAGGCCCATTTGCCTTAACGGTCATCTGACTATAAAGACCTATATATAAAAGAGGCAAAAAAGGCCTAAATAAATTGTACAATTACTCCTCAGCTAATGTGAAAAATTGATTGGTTCGTCAAGACATTTTTGTGCAAACTTAAAATTATATTCGTTTTACATGCACTACATCATTGCCATTACTCCGCACGTATTGCTTGTTGAAAAAAAATACAGGTCACGAGCCTATTATCAATACCCTTGACCTTACAGTTATTGAGAAGAAATTATTTTAACATTTTAATATATTGGATACATATGACCTAGAACGTAAGTTAAAGCCATTATATGAACAAAATTGGCAGCCCTGCGGTAGGTTATTGAGAAGAAGTCATTTAATGATTTTAACATATTTGATCCCTGTGACCTTTGAAACAGATTAAGGCCAGTCCTATTCACGAGGGGTGATGTTTTTGTCTAATTTTAGTTGAAATCCATTCACGCATTAAGAAAGAGTAGCATTTGGAAGCAAAATCTTGTCAAATTTCCCCTTTTGAGGCCCTGACCCGAAGTCCCTACAAGTCGAATCAGCTTTCGGAAGATCGGACATAATTCCCCACTCTCGATGATGTTTCAGACCAAATCTGGTTGAAATCTATTAAAGCATTACCAAGAAGTAGCCTTTGAAGCAAAATATTGCAATACTTGTCCTTAAGTCCCTAGTGATCAAATCAAATTTCTGAACTGAAATGATTTCCTCTCTCAATGACATTTCACTATTTTTTTTGAAATCATCATCAAATATCATAAAGCATTTTTGCCTCACCAATATCTGGTTTCTTTGTTTTCACCAAAAGAATGCATAACGATGATTTAAATTGCTGATTTTAATGGAGGAATTGTTAAACTATCCGACTTCCTGATCTTCAACGACGGAACGATAACTTAATAAGAAACGAAATATTAAAAGTTAACCAGCTGCACGGTATCAAACACAAACTAAAACAATTTAAAACAATATTCCAACAGCACCATTATTTTCTAAACTAAATATGGCCTTACGATCACGATCTTCATACATCGTATTGAGTGATTAAAAATAGATATGAAACTACAGCAATAAGAATGTTTTTCCATTTGCCTCTGCAAGCCTGTGTTTGAGGCATCTCTACCTTTGCGCTTCGGCGAGAAAATATGTACACATTTCGTCCACATTCTTTTAACATAGAAAGTAATTAAATTTGCAGCTATTGCCGCTTGTATTCCACATTCCACCATCTACGTCGCCACCGACGCCGATGCCAAAGATGAGTATCTATTTGACACTGTACAACATGCGGCGAATGCAAAGCATATCAAAATTACATTTATTCTGACTAGTTCATGTGGGCGACGCCGACGAGGTAAGACAGCAGTAATGCAAACATTTATAATGGTATATATGTATGTTTTCATGTTATGTCCACAACTATGATTATGTGATGACGTCAACAGTTGTTTGGGGCCTCGAAACTGTGGTTATATAGCGTCATTACACATAAATGTCGTAACTGGACGTGGACACAAAACAACTGTCCAAAATCCTGATTGATAATCTTCCTTTTTATGACAGACTCTGAATACCAAAATCAAAACGTTTTTGCCGGTCGTGCTTCCGGTTTGATTTGGTTGATTCTGTGTTTTTGTTACGTGCATGTCATTTAGTTAGGTTTCGATATTTTCGTATACATCAAATTATAGAAAGAAAGAAATGAAACTTATAGATATACTCATTTTTAAAGATAAATGCAAAATACTATATTTTTTAAATGACTCTTCATTATATATTCTGACAACGGGCAGACAAATTCTGATTATGCTAGACACAGTTCAGTGAAAATTGAATTTATTTTGCAATATTCATCAAAGATTATCTCGGTTCTCCTTGTGTAATTGGTGTAAAGTCGCTCACTGAGTCTTACTTGAAGGTGAATCGAGAATGGCTTTAACATGGTTATCATTGCATCATTATTTTTTGAAAATAAATTGCATCATTAGTCGCATTGTCTTTGGAAAGAATCACACTTTAGCCTATTGTCAGTCTCAACTCGTGCAATGTCTACCTAATACATATAAAATATCTATCTGTTTTAATTTGACCATGAAAGACCATTTGATACTGAATACTTAATTATGACACATACAATTCTAGCTAACGATTCAGGTGTCGTTGTGTCAAGCGCGACTACGTAAACTGTCTCCAGTAGACAACAATCACAAAATACTCCATTATCAACTTTCATTTTGTCCCAGTACAGTATATGCGATCTTATATGTCCGATAAAGAACTCCTATATAATTTTTTTCTGTAAGGTGGACTGTAGTACAGATGAAATACGTGTAATTAATTAATTGAATTTAAAATGCAAATACCTTCCAGTAAACCACTGGCAAGCACACGAGAACAAACCTTCGATTTCTTGTCATGTGTCCATTTTGGAGCTGAACAACTGAATAACACCAGAAAATTATCAACTTTTTGTTACACTTACAATGGGATCTGTGATGACATTTAAGTGACATTAAAGTGTTCCCAGTGTCGATTTACCTGTTGCTGATGTGAATATAAATAATCTACAACAAACAACAACTATTCTCGAATTCAAATGTGTCCTCATCAACAAATAAAACAAATCACCACCAACAAATGTGTAATTACATTAACATGCTAGATTTTAAGATGATAGTCTAGAATAGTACTTCCTGTCACAATAATGTGACTGTAAAAATGTTATCAAACTTATTAAATTTACTAATTATGTTAAACAAAAACCCTCTCAAATTCGTGACAAACCAAAGGCATAAAAAGGACTTCACGATTACTGCTTTTCAGTGAATATTGAATAATATGACCCGGTTATGGTGGCACGCTACATTGTCCGGTTAATGCCATTTCAGTGTTACAGCGCCATGAAAATCTTTTGTCAGTACCCACATCATCCCTGTGTATCTACTTAGCTGTTACAAGGACACATAGTCCAGCCAATAAACTATTCACTTATCAAATTAGAAATTCACACCAATTAATTACCAATCTTCATATATATGTTTAAGATACCCATTCATGGCAAAAGAGATATAACTCGGCTTTTGAGGCACTCGTTGCAAGTACAGGAGGAAACGTTTATCATGTGGATCATAGTGAGGTTACATCAGTACTTGACCATGCCCTCGAGGTAAGCCTTTTCGCAACCCTTAAAATTGAGCACATAGTGTTACCGATATCGTTCACGACATACGAGTCTCGATTCCAATGTCATTACTCCATGCATAAATCTTCACACAAATGTCACATACAACAATGTCACTGTCAGTACATTGCATCTATACCAAGTAATGCAATCTTTATATTCATTCAAGCCTCAGGTTTTTTTAATTCAAGTATGCAATTCGCTTAGGATTGTCGGATGGCGCGGTGATAACGCATTCGCCTTTCGTCCAACGGTCGGATGTACGATTCCCAAGGCGGACTGTCCCTGAATACTCCTACTTCTTTATTCAACAGCAAGTCCCCTAGCCTACTTCTATGCAGGCCAACACGGACGGTTATTATAAGCTGATTGCATGTTCCAGAACATTTGCAAGATAAAGATTATGTTCAATGTTCTTTTACACACACTACATGATGGTGTATCCTAGTTAGGAAAAGAAACAGCAAGGTTTTCCAATGATGATCCACGTCCAGGCCTAACAGTTACATACAGTACGTCTCATATAAAATCTACATATTGAGTTACATTATCTTTCAGAAAGATTTTCCCTCCTCAGAAGCAATAATTGATTACTTTGTCCAAAAAAGCTCTGAAAACGACACGATGGATATTACAGTTGATTGTGCTGCAGCTGTTCTTGTTATCGCCATCTCTGGACCGAACAGTCTAACGGAGGCTTTTTTGTCAGACCCAAATGGTATAATCTTTTTTTGCGTTGTATTTTTCACATTCTTCTATTGAACGTCAATAATATAGACGATCTCTCGTCATCCGATAATGTCTTTCATATTTTATAGTATTAGGTTTATGAAATTTCAAGCTTGATAAATCACCTAGGAAATGATAACGTACCTTTCAGGACAGGATGTTGTATGCAATGTCTTAATCATTAATACGTTGTATTCATTATCTTCATCTTCCAAAATGTTGGTAACATTTTCTTCATCTTTCAATATTCTGTATGCAATATTTCGTTTTTGACTTCATGGATCATGTAGATAAATGTTATTATTTAGGCGTTTGCTTCTTCGTGATGCAAGCAAATTGATGCTGTGTCTACCTTGTAATTCATATCAAGATTGCCTGTCGACACGAGCAGATAAAGGAATATATGTATGTACGACTTTCTTATTTTAATTCTCAATGTGTTCATGTAGCGTCATTATTTTCTATTTCAAACATTAGGAACAGCCCAACGCTTCCCAAGTAAGGGTGCTACCCAGTACTATTCCAGCCATAAAATTACCATGTCAGTTCAGGTATGAACGAGTGATATTTTCACATACAAACAACTTTTGCAGAAACTTTTCATGGTAAAGGTTTACCACAATTGTGAATTATATGCTCTGTAACATCAAGAATGAGTGGCAGGAGCAGAATCGGTCAAATGCTTAATTTCACAAATATCTTCAGAAACCCAGACTATTGAAGAATCAAACACATTTCATAGATGGAAGAGTCTTAATGTTTTTTCCGTAACTGTGACTTTATGACTCCAAGTCTGACAATTCTCCATAGGAAGGTGTACATTTGACAAAAGTTTATACAGGATAAATATATTTTAAGCATAATGGATTTAGTTGTTTATTGTTATCGCTAAATCTTTATCTTACAATTTTCAAAATGGGAAGGCATTTGATGTTGTGCATACTTTACACTGGATTGCATCAAGCTATCTTAATTTGCTCACCAGTTCATTTCTATGATAAATGAAGCATACCTCAGGAGAACGATAAGTTCCTTAGACTTCTTTGTCATGTACATTCATGCACACTCTGTTACTGTTTTATCTGTAGAGACCATCTGCTGGTATTTGGAAATTGACTCGATTCGGGGATTCTGCATGGAACGTTAATGTAACAGCCTCCACCTATTTTGATATCGACAGCCAACTCAAAGAAACGGACAGATCTGGAATATCTTATGTTTTGGACAGTAATCCAGTTATGGGTATGTCATATAACTACATGGATCACGTTATTACAGGTTTATTATCACATCCGACTGAAAATAGGAGGAAAATGTAATACCGCCGTCCATTAATCATCCAGTCTGTCCATAGATCATTTTCGAACAATAAATTGAGTTATTTAGGACCGTTCAAACTCAAACTTAACACTACGCTTGGAATTGCATTTACCTTACCTGCGTGAACGGCAAGTGAACTTATACCGTGGCGTGGTATCCGTCGTTCGTCCGTCAGATAAATGTTTTCCCTTAAACGACTTCTTCCCAACCACCACTAAACCCAGGGTACTAATATTGTAGCGTGTTGAGAGAAAGGGCTACGGAAATTATTTACTGAAAACCCTGACCTACTTTCAAGGCCACAAAATCAATTGTTTTAAGTCGTAATTTGACATCTGATCAAAAACAGCTATTCCACTTTTTTTGTTGAAGTCATTGAAATTGACCAACGCTCATTCTAACTTGGGTAAAATGTATTAAGATCCTTTGATAAAGATCAAAAGGGGCTGATATTGACATCATAGCATGCTTGGATGAAGGAAACCAACAGATTTTATTCAGATGCTTAACTTTTACCCAATTTCAATTAAGTGAATACTTTTTCATATTTTGAAAAAAAACTATAGGTCCTGGGTCATGGTCAGAGCGTTTTTGTAAGCATAAGAACATGTGATTGATTATAGCCTCTTGTTGTGGTGAGAAGAAAACGATTACTTACTGTGAATAGGACATTGGGCCAAATTGCAAGTTGTATTTGAACCGATCGAATTGTAAAGTTAATAACTGTTTCTTGGGGAGTGTCGGCTTTGGTTAAGTTAAAAAATTCAAACATCAAAGTACGTATAGCGCCAGTTTAACTGTATCGATTAAACTCAAGCTTTATACACTACTTTTTAATTAGGTTTTTTTTTTAATGAAAAGTTTGAATGAACTCGAACTTGACTCAAACTCAGATTTTACACAATATATTAAACAAATGTGATTGTTAGTTCCGCACTGGTCCGCAAGAGGAATTAAGTTTTGCGTGTGCCTGTCATTCTGTTCGTTTTCCGCAAATTTATTCGGAATCTTTTCTTTCATACACTTCTTGTCATTAGAACGTCCAACTTTGGATATATGTTCGCGTTGGAAACGTGGCGTGACATTTATCAAAAGGGAGTTATTCCTTTTGACCAACATAAAACAGTTCTGTCTCGTACTCATATTTAACTACAAGTCACTGGAGAAAGGGAAACGAAATGGTAACGTGTACTTTGGCGTTCTTATAACAGGCATGTTTAAGCCGTTTTCATCAAATGCTATCTTAAATGTTAGTTATCGTGTTTAAAACAGTTGCATACTTGTAATACACAGGTAAATCCTACATCCTGGAAGTTCTAGCTTATAATATGAACTTGAAGTCGACATCTTTCACACTGCACATCATAGACGAGCAGGGAGACCTTATTCTCAGCCGGGTTATGCGTTTTATATTCAGTTCTTCGAAAGCAACAGGCTATACGACAGTTGTGATTCCTTCTAAGGTAAGAGCAAACGGAGCGAGTATTCCTGGACATCATATTTTAAATTGTGCATATTTCAACATATTCTTTTTTAAGACCAGAATATTCAGAGACAGCGACGCTCTGCGATTGATTGTCTTTTATTTTCTCCTCGTCTGGTAGTACAAAGTTCCTCATCTGTTAAGCGAATCCATAGACTTCTTTTTGTTCGCCTAAGGACAAAGTCATTGTGGTTTAATTGCGTCCACACTCGTTTACGGACAGATCGACAATTACTTAGAATACCCTACACGGATTTTTTTATGACAGTAAAACTGCGCTGATGCTCTAACATTAGCTGGCCAATACATGCTTGAAGCACATTCCGTAGGGATACGTCGATATATGTTATATACATAACAGGTCACGTGATACTGAAGTTACATACTTTACCCGAGAAACGAGTTATTGCTTCAGCCAAGTTATTGTCTTTTAGTAACAATAGTATCAGTACCAGTTACAACATGTTGGTGAACGTTACACTAAAATAGTTATCCAGGTTTAAGTCGATTTTTTAAACAGCCACTGCATAGACGTTCTGTCATTTAACTAATTTAAACATGTTCTAATAGAAGTGATCAAAGTACACTTTTTTAATATGTTGATAACCGAAACGAATACAACGTTTTGAGATAACTGAACGGGTAAATCGGTCGTCTCTTTCAGAATTTCTACGTGCAGCTGAGTGGTGTTGACCAAAATGGTTTCGCATTCAAAAGAATGTCTCGAAAACTCTTCACACCAGTAAGCGTGGAGTTATTCGTACAGCCAATATTAGGTGATGTTTTAGCAAATCAGCCACCAAATTGATCACTTTTTTTGTTAAAGATATTTTTTGAATATTTGTTATGAAATGTTCTCATAAATAATAAGAACTTGTATACGTCTTCGTTAGTCACCCTTATATCTTTTTTCTGTGAGGCAGAGTCAATACCTGAACACTGTAATAACTATATAAAATTTCCTTCGTAAATAAACAAATGATATTTTCAACAACAAAAAATTACGGAAAATATTGAAACTAGCACTATTTGATGGTGTAACAATAATACTGATTGAAACCTTAACACAAATATATTTGTTTTTAAACAAAATAGAAATGAACGTCTTTGAAAATGAAACGTCTTTTTTCTTACAGGAAATCTTGAGGTCGGTACACCGCAGAATATAACATATAAAGTAAGTAACTTTGGTGGTTCTACTCAGACCTACACCGTTAGTATCACCGACGACAAGGGTAGGGTTCTACATCCAACATATCGACAGCACAACTTGCGGCCAGGAAAATCGGCAACAGGACACTTCCAGATAATGGGTCGTGTTAAATTGGAATTAATGTAAGTAGTCTATGGACAGTTATTAATAATGTTTCACTGAAAATAATGTACAAAAATAAATAGTCACTCCGTTAATAACATTCACATATACAAAGAAACAATGATGACATATAAACAAAGAGCAATAATAAGAAACATCGCATTAACAAGGGCAAAGGTTCCTTATTCCTCTTCTTTATGTCTAACAAAATCAAAAAGACATTTTAAGCCTTGCACCTTAAATAAACTCAATAAATCATATGTCTAGCGGTTAAAAACTGGCAAAATACTTGACGAAAAGATCATCATTTCTTCGGGAAGTGTAGCCAAAGTTACGGTCTCGTTCTGTGGGTTAAGTTACCTCAAAATGAAGCAGCATTATACCACACAGAAATTTTCAATAGTGCAATCATCTCTCGTATGCCACGTGATTTGATTATCTTTTTTCTTTAATACACTCCACAACCATATTTGTATTGTGTAAAAGTAATTGTAACTCGCTGCCAGTAAGCCTGGTTCATTATCTGGAGAAATTATTAACCAAATAAAAACAACTGTACAGAAGATTCATTTAAAAATAAGCCAATCTTGGAAGGCAAATCCTAATAAACAACTGCGTCAAAGTTAATACATGTAATGTGAATATATCCAGCCAAAGCTTGCCTTCATAGGTTAAGAGAAAAAGGTAAGACGTAATGGTAATTGAATAAGAATGAAAACAATAACTGCACATGACAATGTTTTGGTTCTGAAGGTGTATATGTGTTCGTAACAGCTATGACCATTGTAGGCAGTGAAAACAGATCATTGGGCCATTTTCTGGCAGTTTATAGTTCTGTCGCACCGAACACAGTAAGGTCATCAGTCCTTGCTGACAACAAATTATTAATGCTTATGCAAAAACAGAAAATATTAATATCAACGAGTTGTTTGGTTTTTCTGACAAAATCGGTAGTATTTTGGTACATTCCATATTAGAATTAGAACCAAACGGCAGGAACTGTTAAAATACATCTCGAAAGTATGAAACATAATATCTTAAGAAGAGATATGATGAAACCTTTGTTTTCATGTTTTTTTACATTTATATGCCTATTTATCAAGCGGTTATATCTTGTTTTAAAAACAATGATATTTACTTAAGTGACATGAAGTCCATTTCCGTTCTATAAATAATATACTTTTCGTAATTGCAAATAATAATAATAATGGAATATAATACAATTGTAGAACCTACACTGTGAGCGTGAAAATATCTGGAACTACTGCTGTTCTTCAATCCAGTACCACTACATCCATGGTATGTAGCTTATAATCACAGAGCTTAATCATAAGTACATTACATCGTCCACAACTCATTTAGAATTAAATTTGGTATTTTATATAGCACAAGAATCCAATTTCCTGCAAAACAATTTTTTAGCCACCTAAAACGCGTACATGTTGATGATGTCATTAATCGTCAAAACTAAGGAGGCGACTGAGGACAATTAGAATTGGTCAAGTCTCAATGTTATTTTTAATTTACTGACCTCAAATCAGTTAAATGCAGTCCATAATTGTAATCAGCATTTCATAAATTATGTAAAAGAAACGATTTTCCGTATGAACACAAAAACATAAAGAGTAAATAGTTTAAGCTCATATTTGATACTTTACTCTTGCAAGACACTCTAATCTATCAGGTTAAATTTTGTTGAACATTTGATGGTTCAAATATTTGTCGCTTGAAAACAATTCATAGATGAACGGATCATAAGATACTATATTTGATAATTCATTTTCAAGGTAGTAGACGCGAGTTAATTGTCAACTCACGCAAACCAATGCTAAGTAATAATGTATAGTGGTAGATTTAGTTGGTTGCGTCTTATAGCCAGTTATGAATTAAATGGTATCATACAGTTGTTTCGTCCCTCATCAGTTATATAAATTATCTACATTGTAGTATTGGTGGCGTGACTATTTTTGTTGATGTTTCGCCGTGTAGAGACTTTTTTAGTAGGCAACCTCGTAATCTAACATTTACGTACCATTTCATATTTGGTATCAAACATTGTTTTCACTATAAAGTTTGCCGGGTCCGTCTGTTCATCCTTCATATCTAAGAAGTGCATATCGATGGATACCGGAAGTGACTGTTCGTTGTACAAGTGGTCTGCAACAGTTGTCTTTTCATTTGATGTGTCAACATACGCCAACAGCTCCGGTATTTCCTTTTCGTTCGATTCTACCGATAAAAAGCGTATACATGCCAGGTAAGTACACAGATATTTGAATTAAAAATTTTTTGGTAGTAGATTTAATGATGTGAACTTACTTAAAATTATAACATAATACAACATATATCTGAAGGTAGTGAAAATCATGAAAATGTAAGTAAATTACATATGCAGGTATTTCAGTAAAACATCACAATGGGCTAAAAACCAACCGGAATGTGTGTTTAATTCCAGCTACCGTACTGTTCTATGTATGTCATTCGAGCAATATTTCGTATCTCCTAGCTATTTTCCTTTCATATCAGTGTGCTGATATGTGACTATGGCTTTTCTGGTTTCCTTGTTTGGAAACCAATAATGAAAGAAATATGTTATACAGAGTTTGTGAATAAAATAAATCGTGACAATATAATGAATACACACCTGATAACCGCTATGACTGCCAAAATTAGGTTTTGTTAGAAAATTGATTTTTCCGCCATATGGATTTTGTTACATAAAGAAAACAAAAAGGAAAATAACTTTCAATGTTCTGCTTCGATCTCTACAATCAGACAGAAAGACAAGCCGTGTATAATTTGAACCAAGCCAATATGAAATTAATTCAGACCTAAAAAGCAGTTAACGACCAACCTCGGGAATTAAATGTCTACAAAAAAGTATCATGTTAGCAATCGGATTCCACGACATAAACACAAGTTAATAGCATCTTTCAATACCAATTCCGAATGGGATAAGGTAGAGCAAAAAATAATTTAATTAAACCATACAGTTTAATCGCCTCCGTGATCCAATTCATGTATGGATACCTTCTGTATATCGCTTGACCTTTTGCAACCGGGGATTTTTTCTTACTCTTATATCGTGAAAGAATTGACATAAAAACTTAAACATGATATTTATAATTAAGTATATATCAGTACAATATTTTATATGTAATTGCTTGGACGTTATGTATGTGTTATAGTGGCACATGCTGTCAGGAAACCCTCAACGTCAATGCTAGTTCATCTACCGGAAGTTGGTGTCAAACTTCTAAACGCCTGATCGAATCAGACAAGGATACAGTCGATCTACATTCTGACGGAGGTCCTACTGAAACACAGGACAACGTATGTATTCTGTCTCTTACGCTGATCTGATACTCATCTGCAACTTTACCTGAACACGTTATTTCAATTCTCTATTCGTTCTTGATTTATTTCAATATTAATTTACTCATGCGACCACGGAAAACCATGTTGGTTCGCTGCAGAGTGCTCACGACTTTCACAGTGGAAATTGATTCTTACTTTGTTTTCTGACCTTAATTATTATTTATTTAAATTTTGTAACGTTAGTTTGTTTGAAATGAAAGATAAATTTGTTGTTTAGAAGAAACATGTTTAAATATTCTGATTTATTAAAGGCATTACAAGTTTTATATGGATGTATATAAAATTTGTTTCAAAGATAATGAATAAATTCTGAGTTATTAAACGGATACCTTTAATTATCAAGTTGGTCAGAAAGTTAAAGTCAATGGCCAGCTTCGTCAGATGTGATATCGGATGATAGGTTTGCCATCAGAAATATACATTTACAGGCCAGCTATGAAAGCATTCCCTCTTATTCTTGAAAAGATATTAGTCAAAATTGTATCAGACGTATCACTCCGATCTCTTGGGCATAGAAACACTTTATATGAAGTAATACAGCACATACAGGACATAAGAAAAAACTAATTAAGGTATATTTTGTTATTAACATAAGTTTTGTATTTTTGAAATAACGAACCGAAACCTCCCTTTACAGGAAAGCGAGCCAGAACAGAATCCTGTATCGAAAGGTTCCGATACTGGGCTTATTGTCGGTATTGTAATCGGAACTGGTGCTGTCGTTGGCATTGCTGCTAGTGTCGCTGTTTATAAAGTTAGTAAGGATACAGCCAAAAAAAGGAAGACTGCGAACTCTGTTGAGAAGAACGGATATCGTCCAAACCCTAACAGTGGTATCGAAACAGAAGCAAAGCAAAAAATCTAAGGATATCAAAACTGTTCTGTGCTTTGTCTGTGTCATAATCACCTGGACATTAAACAAAGTTTGGATTTTACGAAACCTGTATAAATTATGAAAGACAGATGAAACCGATCTTATTTCATTATCATTTTCCTAAATAGTGAAAATCAAGATAACAAATATCAGCTCAAATCAATCATAAACTGAACGTGAACGATGGTTTTGATGATTGTTATTATCCAATTACTTAAATGATGTGTTGATTTTGAACCAGATAATAATAATTTGATAAGATTTAACATTGTTATACTATGTGTAGAGTGGTATATGGCTATTTGTCTACACAGTGCATCCTTATCTATTGGTGTTACAAGTAAATAAAATCATATATCTTGTCCACTATGTTGATTTATTTTTTATTAGTTAGAAAATAAAATCACACCACGAAAATGCTATCATACAAAATAACGAACATTTGACACGCCAGCTTTACATCGAACAGAGAAAATGAGATAAATTTTTCAATGGCATCTCTATAAGAACAGTAAAACTGTCCAATAATTTGTATTAATCTGCACCTCTTGAAACTCTGTGTCATGATAAAAATATCTTTCAATAAGACCTTTATGACGAGAGTAAGATTTCCTCGTAATTTTCACCATTTTGCATATCTTTAAACCCTTTATTTTGAAACTGAATAAATCAACAATGATTATAAAAGAGGGACGATAAATTGAAAATAGAAATATAGTCTGTTTCCGGTGTTTTGAGTTTAGATTAGACATACTTACTCTAGCCGATCATCTATTTTACTGTCCCCTCTTGGTACAGATTTCTGCCAATCACTTCTTTGCAATATTTAAGGATCTTTGTGATACTATATGTAGATTGTACAAAAGACACGCAAGTAAACTGAACAGTTCTATACAAATTACTAAGATACAGGAAGGACAAACTATGACTGATTCTGAATCATATCGCTGTTTCTTCGTCAATGATGCTAAACGTAGGAGACAAAATACAGTAAGAAAAAAAGGGGGGTACCAATAGAATATGGACAGATCTCGGCATCACAGGTGCTGACAGGTTTGAGGTAAGTACTATATTTCCATCATTAGACAAACTATCTATACCCTTGATTCATCAGAATAAAAACATATCTCCACACATCAATGTGAATACTGGTATGGTAAGACCCTGTTTTCCTGTCTGAAACTAGACAAGATTTCCTTCAACCTGAGCTTTTATGACGTGATAGAAAAAGTAAGTTAATTTTAGTCGGATTTCATCATCACAGAGGCAAAAGCAGGATCATATCTATGACCCCAATGACCACACATGCAAACATCTAGTGGAGGTAGGTAGATCTCTATCAATCAGATTCCTTGATCTTGTTAATTATGTCGACAATCTTCAGAAACAAGAAAAACAGTTCTCCTTACAATGTTAAAAATAACATTTTTAATTTAACACTACATTTTGTGATGAGCATGTCCTAGCAATATATGCAGGACTTACTGACAATAACACTTCCTAAACCTTGCCATGAAGGGTATACTTATCACGTTACGGGACCATTCTCATTTTGACTACCACACCTATCCCATTTATCAAAAAAAACCACGACCTGTTGGTCAAAGATTTATCCGTCAAAGATTTGAAAAACTAAGAAATATCACCTTTCATTTATATTCTTGGCACTAAACCTATGGAGAGTAACTAATCCAGTTTTGTGAAAATTCTTCGAAGATTTTAATTATCATCCATCTCTTGGTTGAAGGGTTATATATATAAACCATTATTTCCAATAGATACAAAGGCTATATTGCCGACAATATGGACAGGTCGATAAAACCATAATTAAAATTCACAAAAAAGACAATAATGCGATTTCAAATAAAAAATAAAAATGAAAAATACTGACATTAATCTATATAACGTGATATTTATTTCTGCATTTTCGCTACAAGATGATTTGATATTTAATGTCTAGTAAAAACATGCCAAACAACAGATCTGACAATACCATTAATCAACGGACAAGGAAGTTTATACATCGCTATCGGGTCCGTTATCTACATTTACATAGGAATTAGTGGTCGGGGAGGACAAAACCGTAAAACCTACTGTCTAAAAGATATGTTGCCTCCCAACGGAGACATGTCTGTGTATTAATATTTACAACGATCACGCACTGCGTAAGTGATACAATTATATCATAGAGTTTTAAACAGAAACAACTCGGGGTTGAGTTATATCATTTGGTGCTTTGAATTTAAATATCAGTGATATTAAGTTATTATTCGCAATTGTTAATGAACAGAGTATGATGTTATTACCCTTACTGTGTTTTTGGTCTTTAATGGTTACGAGGACCATGACTTTTAAACCGACCATCGGTCATGGAAACGATCCGTCTATGTATACGCATGAAAGTATTACAATAGAAGGTGTGGACAGGGCAGCTGCCAAATTTCTTGCATCACTAGGCATACTGACCACTTCAACGTCACATCCTGAAGAAATCATCAAGAGTTATTTACGATCAAGTAAGTAATTCACCAACCGTAGAACTTCTTGGTTAACGTTTAATTTAATATCATTTCCGTAGAGATATACAAAAAACAATAACACAACAATTTGCATTACTTTTTATACACACAAGGGAATAGTACTTGTTAATAATTTACAGTTAGATACAGTAGAGCAAAATGATGAACTAAATTACATCACGCAGTTGTTTCGTCCTTCTAGGACTCGTCACCAACTTTAATTTTGAATATATATGAATTATCAAATTTGCTGTACATCATATTTTGTATGATTTCAGATACACACAGCTATGAGGACTACACACAGAGACGACACGAGTTCGCGGCCGCTGTTTTAAAGGCATATAGCACACACCATATGGACCCAGATTACACTGTGAATTCTGAACGTATACGGGAAGGTTTGTAAACTTAAAACATCAGTACTTCAAGTCTGTAATTATAACCATAATATACACAATGTATTTCCAGTTGTTTACTTGTTTACGTTTCGTGCATTAAATCAGCCTACCAAAAGCTACGTATATTGGTATGATTAGGATGAGAACAAGATGGATTTTCCGGCCTTTCTACCTTTTTATTTTACCTTTCGTTCTGTTTGCTTTTTCTTTATATCTAATATTTCTCTTGTTTTTGTCCACTTCTAAAGCCGCCTTCTGACAATTGCGGCTCTTACGACATCTTATTGAAACCATACTGAAAATAGACTGATTGGATCCCTCCTATATCACGAAACGTTTACGCGTACATTTTGATAATTAAAAATCTAACATTTTTCGACTAAGTGAAACAGATCTCTGGAGCGTTGTCCGTATCCTTTCGTGAAGCAGCGAGCGGCATTTAAATTACAAACGGGGATATTTGGTTTGCTAGTCACATTGCATATACCCACGCCTGTGGATTTTTTTGTTGTACAGCTGATAGCCTTGTGAAGTCAATTAGATTAGATATTGCGTCTTTGCTGTCAACGGGAACATTAGACGATGCATCAACGAAACTTTTAATAGATAAAGTGGGAAAGTGTTTGATGATCATCCAGTCTTTTTACAGCAACACAAATTGGATAGAGATGATGGTAAATGGTGGAGAGTCCTTTCTTACATTTGGTAAGTTCCTTATATCTATAATGAACTTTAATCATATCAGTCATCTCGTCTTTCCGACAATTTTTATTTGCTTTCTTGTTTCAGACAAACCGGTATGTCGAACATTTGTTAAATATTTTGAAAAATAAACATTCTCAGAAGACCTTGAAAATTGAAGCAGAATTTCAAACCATGAGATATAGTGATAATAACGGTATCTATTGAATTCTAATATAATTTTTTGAAAAAGTATAAATTCTTATAAAACTTTTATTAAAGTTGGCAGCTTGTAATAATATCTGTTATTTGTGAAAAATATAATTAGTTTCTTACCTGTTTATAAAGGAACGCTCAACCCCTTCAATATGACAGTTGCCACATCAGGAACTGTGACTTGTCGAAACTGTAACGGCGACATCCCACAGTAAGGTTTTCATATTTTTACCGGCATCAACTTTGGTCATTATCTGGAGTAATGTCTGCTCAGTTGACATCCTCTGTAAGGACCGTTCATAGTTTGATATCATTTGGACATACAATGTATAACCCAGAACAATCAACACAGCCTTATCTTAAGAATGTTTATATGTAAACCACAATAATTGTATGGATTATAACACTAATTCCAAATACATTTAAAGAAAACACATAAAGATGATGTTCACTTTAGCCAGTTAATGTGCACAACGGACGGATGGAATAATTTTTAGTCAAAGAATACAGCTGATAAAAGGTGAAATAATAAAACGAAATAGAAATTAAGTTCATATAATTAACATGTAGGATATTTAACCTACATTTGAATTTGAAGTTTTATGTAATTCTTTGCCTAAAATAACATTACTTTGCCATGAAATAAAGTTGAAATCAAATCTAAACTAAACTTACGTTTCACTTTATTATTGTTGTAGTTCTTGTAAGTACAACCTATTGGTCCACGACCGTCTGACAAGTGGATACCTGTATGGTCAGTCGTACTACCCTAAACCAGCTGGTGAGTTTCGTTAAGGGAAAATATCGCTTGGAAATAGGTTGTATCATTTTCGTCGTAAATAATGGGGACTATTGTTAAATAGACTTTGCAAATCTTAATACACACTACGACTATGTTTATGTTTGAATTAATAAAGAACACTAACAGTTCTTCGTAAGAACCCTTTTTAGAAAGACAATCATTACAAACCAAAAGAACACATTTGACAGCGGAAGACTTCTTATATTTTATTAGTCTTAAGAATCATTGGTTACCTTTGCAAAATCATAATTTTCTTTTGGAAAAAAAAATTCCGTGGTTTTTATTTACAAAAATAGCACCTGGTTTCCTGGTAATTTTTATCTGTTGATTCTTTCACTGACGTATGAGTTCGAGGATTAAACGCAACCACTA